TGGTGTCAAGTGTTTAGTTTGGGAGTGTTTATGTGTCGCTGAAAAGAGCGCCGTGGTTTGTTTTGTAAAGCGGGTTTTTGTGTCAAATTGAGCACAGTATTTTCTCTTTTATTATGCCGACAGTTCGGTGTGAATGGCTCACAATATCTCGTTGATCACTTGGACCATAAAAATGAAATTGTTGTGAAAATTGGCAGCGTCACTCATGCAGAATAAATTAGAAACCGAGTTTGAAAAGATGACTTTCAAAATATTATTTGAAAGAAATTTCACTTACCTTGATACTGAGGAGTGTTTTACTCTGAATTTGTTTATAGTATTTGGTTGTTACTGTAAAAGAACAATTTTTGCAGTTCCACAGGTATCACTAAAGGCCCCTAGATGCTTTGCAAATTCAATTTTCAATGAAAAAAAAAACAGAAAAAAAATATGAAACACAGCAAATACTAGTTTTTTGAAAAGGATTGTACAAGTGCCCAAGACCTGAAAACTGATTCAACTCTCTTTGAAAATGCTACATTGAAAATTCCTGAAACTAGGTTAAAGAACTGTCCTATTTTGATTTTTATCTTAAAAAAGTAACATGGTATCCAAGTGATTCAAGACAATCCACATTTGAGTTTATACTTTTTCTTAGCTGCAAGTCTATTGCCTGGGACTGTTTATGTTAAAACGAAGGAGATCAACCATTTTCAGTCGAACAAACGTCACTTAAAATTTCACTGATGCATTTTTAACACTACAATTGACTGGCAAGGCCCAGTATAATATAACACTATTAACTACATGTACATGTAAATATTGTCTGAACATATCCTTTTTAAGCCAGCTGTGTTCAAACTAGCACCAACACGCCCACCTCACTACTCAAACTAATAAACAACCGACTATACATCCTATAAAACTCCCTCCCTCATTTCATGTCAAACACGTACTCTATTGACCACCTTCTTATGGGCTTCGCTGGCACAGTTTCGCGCCCGTCGCCTGACCGAGTATTCCTGTGCCGAGGGTGACGGTCGTCTTGAATTGTTACGTGCCACTGGTTTCTAAGATGGCTTTCCCCGACACCCTGTGAAATGTTCTGAATTACGATCGGGCCGTGCATATTTATGATCAAGGAAATGTTAGAGACTTGTTTTGAGATTTAAGGTGTACCTCTTGTTTTTCCTTCTTTTTTCACAGTGCCATGAAACTTTTGTGACTGTTACGTTTTTTTGACACGTACAAAACTAGTCTAGTAAATGCATCTTACAATGTATGTATCTATAGCTGTTCATGGTGGGATGGCAAATAAAACTTCTGAATTTTAATTTGAGGATTCTGAGAGTAATTTTGTTCAAATGGCATAAGTGTACATTTAAATGATTTTGTATTTTTAAATGTTTTCATTTAGTTGCTGTCTTTCATTGAGACTTTTCAGGCAGTCGTGCCATAGTGGACAAGAAAAGTAATTACATCAAAATTTACTTCAATTCATCCCATAAATCACAGGCGCTTAATTATTCAAGACAAAACGTGACCGATCTTTAATTAACCACCGACAATAATTACTACGAATCCCTTGCTGTTCGCCTCCACCCTACTCAACAAATTCTAGTTTTCTCATTAAATAATTCCACCCAACTTAAATAGAGTCAGTATCTTCCGGATGATTTCTAGCCGTGCCGACCGATTTCAATTAAGTTGTGTGTGTACACGCACAAGGCTTGTCTTTTCCGACAAGAGAATAGGCAAGTAATGAGATCTTTCTCCCCCTCGCGAATCCAAGACAGGTCAATTATTGAAAAGGTCAAGTCGAAAACTCTTGAGAGGGGCATCCAAGTCCCCTCATGTCTTGGCTTCTCATGACCCGACAAATTACAGTTTGACCGGCACTAGCTCCTAGCTTTATTGGGGGACGGGAGAGGGTCGGTACGCCAAAGCTTTTTTTTTTACAATTTTGTTTTTCTTTTTCGTTCACACCTGAGACTCACCTGGCACGATTGCACAGTCTCGAATTTCTACTCCGTGCCATCTCTCATCCAGTGACCTAATTTAAGGTTGTAGTTTCGTAACTGACCTGGGGCATCCCCCTCTACCCCCCCCCCCCTTCTTGTTTGTCCGAGAACTCCATAGAGGTGCTGAATTGGTAAGTGGGTTGTACCTATAGACTCAAGCTTTTTTTTTCTATAAGAGAGGGTTTCATGTTGGATTAAGCTGAGCGGTTGGAAAAAAAGGCGAACAAGGATCGGTGTTTGCATTAGAACGTTATAGTCTGGTGCAGTTTATTGGCAGTAAAGTTCCGGTAAACAGAATTTGAAAGGAAGTGTTCATGCAAAACCGTGTCAACTGTCAGTTGTAAATTTCTTTTATAAAAGATCGCTTACACGCCAGTGTTTTTTTTCTTCAGAATTACAGATTTGTACAACTAGTACAAATTTTGCATGTTTCTTGAGGATTTTTATCTCTTTTTCCTCATTTTTTTCCCCTTCTACTCTGCATTTATGGATTTTATTGCAAGTGTAGGTTGTGTATTGGCCCTCAAATTTTAAATGATTTTTTTATTTAAATGAGCCAAAGCCAAGGTCATCATAATTTGTTGTTCTGCTTTTCCAGTCTTTTCCAATCAAATTCCCTACCCTTCGGAGTGAGGGGGGGGGGGGGGTATCCAAACATCAATCTGCAGTATCTAACCATCGCTTTTACTCTACATTCTGAGTCACTGAAGTCTCTTTGCAAAGCTGTCGTTCTGAGCTCAGCATGTGGTCTTCTTGGGCTCTCTGTTCTCTAGGTAACCTTGACCAGCCCATAATGAAATGAAAAGTGTTTTTCTTCCATTTTTTTTTTTTTTGGTGGCGGCATTTCCTATCTTGAGTCATCTACTTCGCTTTGTCGCTGTGTATATGCTGTTGATATCGGGGACGCAGGCAGGCGAGAAATGAATGGATTTTTTAGGGACCGTGCATCTTATTTGCGTCATGCTGGTTTAGGACCAGATGACAAAGACAGAATTTTGGTAACGTCAAGGTCAGGCGATGACAAAGGCCAGTTTAAAATTTTATATTAAACTTTCATGTGCAAATTCTGCTTTAAAATATACAAAGCTTTGTCATGTGACATCTTGATTTTCCAGGCTACGAATGTAAGAATTTTAAAAAGAAAGAATTACATTAAATTATGTGGGGGATTGTGCAATGAAAATATTTAAAAATTAGACATTGATGTGATTCAAATGTAAACACAACAACTTTCAAGTGACACACTTTTTGATTTTTTAAAACCATTAACGCAGTGTGTTTGTTCAATATTAATTTTTGATATTGACAGACACAGTTTCAAGTTCAATGTAGCTCTTCGTCAAAGCAATTGCTATTTCCAATACAAAAACTGTATTTTCTGTTTATTAAACAAAGCGTTTTTGCGATTTTCCATCAAATGCAAAACCAGCAACATCCCCGAAACAGTTTCAAGTTGCAGAAAAAAAATGAGTTAAGGTATTCTAGGGCACATAATTATAATATATTTCTCATTACCATAAATTTTGTTTTAATCTTTCCCAGCCAATTTTCCCTTCACCCTCTCTCCCAAAATGGTAGCAACCCAGACAGAGCTGTTGTAATTTACACCTGATCGGCCCGTCCGCGATGTATTGTATTCACTCCAGCTCCTGGTCTGCGCAATCAAGTCTTTTTCACGGAGGCTGTATACACGAGTGCTACTCCCAACACTACGATCAATAGAACAGTCTCTTCGATTTCTATCACCCTGCTCCGAACGGAAAAACAAACCCTGAAAAAAAAATGGAAAAAAAATCCAGGCCCGAAGTGGTCAGACAATGGCTCTTTATGAAAGGACTAGAAAAGGCAGAGTTTACGCCAGTTATACGGTTTCGGCTATTTTTAACTAGAGTTATTTTTTTTTGCGTTGGGGCGGATTGGGTTACCATTCAATTTCATGCAAGGGGAGTCATGTTAAAGTGACTTGAATATTTAATTTTGATGTTTGGGTTTCGAGGGATTTTTTTCACAGTAAATTTGGGAATCTAAATTTGAGAGTTGTTGGAGTAAATCTGTTGAGTGTTTGGCTTAAATTTTTTTAAGAGGAGAAAAAAAAGTTTTGGGTAAAGAAAAACATTAGGTTTGTTGATTAGGTAATTTAAGATGAGAATTTCATACATCCATGACCTACATGTATACATGTAAGATGCCATACGACGATGCTAATTTAATCCGGCAAAAATTTACTAATGGGTGTATTTGCACAAACTCAAATCTCAAAACAAGTCCAAATTTGTGGATAGATTTCATAGGGCTGACGCTTCCTTGAAAGTTACAGTACATGTGCAATGAGTATGTCATTGGTTACCTCTTACAATGGATGATTTCCAAGAAAAAAATGAAAATGACTAGAGAAGTAAGATTATAAACTGGCAAATTTGTCTGCTGTGTCCTGCGCACAGATGTCACTGAGTGATGCATATTGTCGAATAGCCTTCATTTAAGTGCTGGATTTGTTGTAAATTAGCCATAAGCTTTGTGCTGACTGCCAGCAAAGCTGTTGCTCTAGGGCCTTGGAAGCAGCACAACCTGCCCGAACACAGACTTTGATATCAGCCATGATCAATAAAATCGCCGTCAATAACTAATCGTCTCGGTGACCTCCGATCGCAACCACTGGATGAATGGAAAGCTGGAGATTCCACCCAGACAATTACGGGTCATTACGCTGGAACTGACGAGAGATTTGGCTCCATTCCCAGAGCTTTGTAGGGATTTAACAAAGAAGATTTGAGGCGAAGGGGGGGGGGGGGGGGAAAAAGAAACGACAGAGTGAAAGGGAGAAGGACAACAGTTGGGGATTTTTTTTATTTTTTTCGTCTCCCTGGGAACTAATTCTTTCACAGGTTTCCGTGGGAATGTGTGCTATAATTAGTACTTTGGCATTTTAGCACTTTAAGCGAGCAAATACTTTTTCAATGTAAATAAAAGTAGCCAACAAATTTGGCACTCTTGGCAATAATGGCTATCGCTCAATACAACCAACTGACCGTAAGTGCAGGGAAGGCATTGTGGTAAAGTGTATTGCCCAAGGACAGGTGCGACACGACCTGGTTGGTATAGAGTCAGAATATCTTTTATGTCCAGTCAAAGTTTAAAAAGAAGTTTATGACCCGACCATTCAACTCAATTTTGTATTGCCATGACCAAAGTGCATTTGCACATATGTGCAATATTTCACGATGTTTGACTTGAAAATATATCCTCGATTTTTTTTTTATTGGTTGATATTATTTTTTAAGTCATGTGATGAAAACTGATGTGCCTGTTTGTTGCCCATTCTGTGAACTTAAAATAGTCTCCACGTACTGCAGCTGTCGGATGAAGTGCGTCAAATGCACCCAAGCAGAAGCGATCTCGAATCGAAACCTCATCAAAAATTCATTTTGTCTGGACAAGAATTAGTAGTCCTTCAACACCGAGTCGCTAATCCAATTTATGTGATATTCCCGTCGGAAAAAAACCCACTGGCAGTCGCTTTTCAGCAAAAAGTGCACATGTGGAGGGCATTGTTACATTTTAACCACCCATTTCAATGAAATGTTACAAGTTCATACAAGTTATACTGCGTTTTTTATTCGGTCGGAACTCTACAAAGTACAAAGAGTTCCTGGGATCAATAACGGTGCAGCGCTTGAGTTGCACCATAAAAGACCAGATACAATTCCACTTCACATCATGCTGCAAGGTTAAAAAAGGATACAGCTAGCTTTTTTCAATTTCCGAGCCTTTGTTTGGGGATTAAAGGGGGATTAGCTTCAGGTTGTTATTATGGTCTGTTGACTTGGGGCAAGCGGTCTTTTGTTGTTTGTTGCATATTAAAGGTGTGTAATGATCCAATGGATTACATTGCCGAAGAGGGGGAGTTGGATTCAGGTGTGGCCCACGTTTTAGCTTGTAAATTTTAAAAGTTTTCTCCCCTTGTACCAAATTTGTCTTGTGCAAGGCCTTCCTAAACACAGTCCTACCTTATTGTTCAGTCTGTGCTGTTGAATACTGTAATAAAATGTGGCCATTTCCTCAACCAATTTGTTCAAATTGTCGAAATTAAATTCAACAAATTAGCTCACAGTGTAACCCCAGTGTCATGCAAAGTGATTACACAGAAAACCAAGTGATTTGTAACATGTTAAAGGGAATATACAACATTTGCAAACATCGAAAAATAAAACTACCAAGTTTTTGCGAAATACCTTAATAGGATGTTGGTAAATGACAGTCTAAAGCATCCTGTAAAATTATGGCACCTGGTATACTGTCCTTTTCAAGAAAAGTGGTATTTTTGTATCAATTTCCAACGCTGATCGGCCGATCAGCGTTGGAAACAACTGGCTTTTTTTCAAATACTGGTCCCAATTGACCATTGCACTTGTTTGCAATCGATTACAAACTTATGAACGGGCACGAGCCAGCTAGACTGGTTCCCTGACCTTACAATTCCCCAATGTATGTAAACTGCTCTGTTTCTTCTTATATGGAGTCAGGGAACCAGACTACAGGAAAATGATCGTTTTCTCAGTTTTTATAGCATTTTCGAATCCAAAACCTCCAAAAAGTCAGTGTAACTATATTTGCTTTATATTTCCAACCCCCCAATTCCATCCATTTCTGAAAATTACAGCAACAGCAAATGATGTATATTCCCTTTAAGGAAAGAGATAAACAAAAAATATATGAAAATCTACCTTTAAAGAGCATGTGCCGTTCCTTGGTTGTTCCTACATGTAGTTCCATGTAGTATTGAGCATGAGCCACGCCCAGCTTGGTGACCACATTAAATATGCAGAGCAGTCATAGTAGTTTTCCCTTTTCAATATGATTTCCAATTTGTCTCCTTATGTTTCCTGTTATTTCCTCCATTTTCAGCATTCTGTACTGTAGCCATATCACTTTTGGAGAGTCTGCAGGAGACTTTCCCTATGTTTTCCTGAGTATCAAATGTCACTCCTGGGTGACAACAAACTCGACAGAAAGTACATGTAGTTGGTGCAGGGAAATACAGGAAGGAATGACAGTACTCATTCCTTACCAAACCAAGTTAATTTACACTTGAATGTACCAAGTACAAAGCACAATTCAAAGAATTTTGATTGTATAAGACAGCAATAGACATGCCTTAAACAGTTGTTAGTCTAGTTCCCATTGGATCCATTATAAAGCCTTGTTCTATCCCAAATGCCAGAATTAAGAAGTTGTGACAATGGGAACTATTTAGACCACTTGCTGGAATTAAGATGTTATGACAATGAAAACTATTTCAATGAGCAGGCTCCAGACTTGTCTAAGTCAACTGCTTACAATTCATTCATTGATGAAACACGACACACTTTTTTTTCTTTCTGTAGAGTTTTTGACAGGGTAATCTCCAAAGGACTGATTGATATTAGAAAAAATCTTTCCCCCAGCAAAAAAAAAATCATTAACAGAACAATTTAAACAAATGAAATGAACAAAAAAATTGATATGGGACAACAGTAAATGAAACACAGTGGAGAAATGTCAACAACAGATATCTCAGTTTTGTTTTTAAAGTAATCATAAGGTTGAATAAAGTTCCATCAAATCTGGTTAAAAATTCCTTCATGTCTTTTAAATATTTTTTTTCAGCCTACAAACTTCATGGAACTTTTTTTTCCAAAATTCGACAAAAAATAGTAGCATTCATCTCAATACGACTACAGAACATGATTTTGTAAGTGTAAAATCTAGAAATTTGAAGTGCTTTCAAAGCAATAAAAAAAATTACTCCTGTAGCTGTGATCACAGAAAGTCAATTTCCATAGTGTGTAAACATCCTCTGGATAAAAAAAAACACTTTTTGAAGTAGACACAAGACGGGCCGATGTTTGAAAAAAAAATTGCCTCGCCTCTCTTTGTTGTTCTGTTTATTTTTAGGATTTGGTTAGCAGAGGTTTAAACTGACATTTCAGAATATTGGTAGACACTGTCTGGTGTAGACGTGTCTTTTCATGTCAAGTTATTCTTTGGGTGACATTAAGATATATCGGCAACATCTGACCCCAGCAAATGTGGCAGAGCTTTTGAAAAGAATCGACACACATGGCCGAGTTCCACACACCTGTCCCACAAACTAGGCTTATCACTGTCATGGAGTGAAATGCCTCTGAACTTTGATTTACCTCAAATTGTTGCAGTAAAATTGGAACAGGCGTCAATAATGTCTGTATATGTTGTGCCCAACTTACAATTTATTCGGCAAAAGGATAGAAAAGCAAAACGTTGGGCCAAAGTTTGGACTTGTTAGAGAATAAAATGGTGCCAATATTTAAAAGAAAAATTATCCATCAGTTCGCTTTCATTGAAATACAATTTTTTTTTTTTCTTAATCTTTTTTTAGATTTGAAAAGTAAAGATTGTAAAAAAAGTAATACGTTTCTTAAATTTTGTAAATTTTGCAAAATAAGGGATGACATATTTTTCCGTATTATCATTGGCCAGTGTTGTCTCTCAGAAGACCTATTAAGTTGAATTTACATGTACATGTACTGTCAAAAATTGATATCTGCAAGTTGAGTGCAGTATGCACACTGATTGTCTAAATAGAGATCACCAAAAAAGTGCAATGTACCTATGTATATTGTGACCAATTTAGTGCCCCTAGGCTGTTTGTAAAGTACATGGTCACTTCTGTGACCTGTCTACCCATTGTCCATCCAAGGGGTGCATCACAGACCCTGTGATGACCCATACTGCACCCTTGACAACCCAAATGCACCCGTTATGATTGGGGACAAAAGGGTTTTATTTACCCAGTCTTAAAGAGAGGCTGATGGCAAGGAGAGCTAGTCTCCCGCTCCAGCCGTTATTTTTGGCTGTTCACATCATGCACATGAGGATGCCTTGAGGGCAGCATTGCATTCTTTTATTGGTATCTTTAGAAATCTCAGCTTTGGGTGTGTGAGTGGATATATGTGTGCAGAATGTGTAATCAAGTACAGCATAAGGCATGTGTACATGTGAATCAGTTTTGAAAAAAAAAATATAGACAATTAAAAGAATAGAAGAAAAATGAGCTAGATTTACAGAGACAATGATGAAGTTATAGGTTGCAGTACTGGGTTTTAGGTCTTAGTATTATTCCTATTGTTTTTAGTTTGTAATTGGTTGGTGGTTTCTTGAACAGCTAAAGGAAAAGAGAAAAGTCTTTTGCCCTTGCCCGGTACTGCCTGCTGTGGAACTCCTGACCAGAATCTAGCTGCTTCACCTCTTCTTATAACTTTTGTCAGCCTAAGCAATATGCCAACAGGTTCCTTCTTTTTTGAAAGTCACAACCTCATGTGGCCTTTGGCTTGAGGTTGGCTGATTTCATAAAAAAAATTAGTAATTGTTCCCAGATTCTTAATGAGTTTTCTCTTTTGGATTCCTTTCCAGGTGATGTCCAGGGCGTCGAGATGGCTCCCATCCAACAGCATCAATTCATCCCGCTCACAGAGGTCCTGTGCCTCATCATCTCGGAGATGAACAAACGCAAGCTGATGGCCACCCCGGACACCATCCGTGACAAGCTGGCTGAGTGCTACTCCAAGATGCCGGTCCCTAACCCGGAGATCATCCACAAGAGTCTCAACCACCTCCTGGTTGAGAGGAAGATTGAGCAGAATGGCAACGGCAAGGGGTACATGATCGTTGGTTTGGACAAGCTACCTCCCGAGAGTCCCTCAGGAGATGAACTGGAGCATGTTGTCACTAAACCCAAGAGCAAACCAGTACAGCAACAACAACAACAACAACAGGGGGATCGGGTTTACTTGGTGTACAAAGATGGGGAGTTGACTCGACATGCCTTGCCAGCGTCGTCTAATATGGTCGATAAGAGCACCCAGACTGTACGATCCAGAAGCGATTCCTCATCTCCGAGACCTGTGTCCTACCCGGCCAACCCCAACATGGGTACGATCTACGAGAAAAGCCACACAATAGGGACCAGCAGCCCTTCCAAGCAGCGGAACGTGGATGCCCAGGCGAGTCCCTTGCAGCGCAGCCACTCCATGAGGGAGCGACGAAGCCCAGCCAGACGGAACAACTTCGACCGGACCGGCTCTATGAGAGCTAAGGCCAACGAGCTGGACACAGGATACTTCACCTCGGATTCGGAAGCCAAGCAATCGTGCTTCGGTCGGCTCCTCGGAAAGTCGGCCAAAAAGAAAGCCATGGCACAGACCAACATGAATCATCAGACATTCTCGGCTCAGTTTCCCCCATCAGACATTCACGATCCATTCTTCAACTATGCTCACTGGCTTGGCAAGTCACCCCAGAAGGTGGCTTTGAATTCAGTGGTTGCCTCAAGCCCGAAAAGCAGCAGCAGCAAAGATAAAACCAAGTCAAGTGGAGCATCCCCTTCTAATGGTATGGGAACATCAACTAAGAAGGACGGAGCCAAGAAAGTGCACAAGGATGTCAACCATTACCAAGTTGAGCACGGTCGGTTGACTCAAACTGCCAAAATGCTCCAGCAGAAATACCACGATAACGCTCAGGAGTCAATGCCCGAGTCAGAGCAGGAGTTCCTGAAGCCGACACTCATGTACGATGAGAAGTTCCGAACAAAAGTTGTGTCTGAGCAGATACAGCCGGGGAAGAACACCAAAAAGAATGATAAGATGAAGCATTATTTCACGTCGATTCAAAGCAACAAGCCACAGCAGATGCAACCGTTTGATGGGATCAGCACAGAGAATGACTCAGAGATCGAAATGCAGCGGCGAAATGACATTGCAGCCGAAAAACGGCGGCAAAAACTGGAACAATTGAAGGAGCGCAGACAGGCCCGAATCTTCACTGCCCACAGAGCCATGAAAGAATCGGAGATGGTTGATCCGATGGATTACCCGCCTGCTGGAATGGAACTGCCTGGTTCACAAATGCCCAGTGGCTCTGCGGGCCATCCCACTAGTCCTGGAGGGGGTAACGCAAATGATATGGAAACACCTGAACCCATCAGACGGCAAGTAATGGTGATGAAAAGGACAGAGACTGTGGAAGTAAAGCATGCTGGACTCAGTCCAACCTCGGGCCCTTTCCCTGCAGCCTTGCAAACGCCAAAGAACTACAATGGGTACCGACGGTCGGAACCTCAGGCCAACTACAATGACCCAACTGAGCGTGAGCAGTACTACCGTGACGAGGAAATTGACAATTACATGCGGGAAGAGCAGCGCAAGCAACTGGTGGACGATATGCAAGATCCCATGAGCTCACCGCAACGGGATACCAACGGTTTCTCCTCGTACCCTCAACACCAAGGTAGCCAGATAACCGTTGATCGTCGGGAGGGAGCCAGCCAAATGACAATGGCGGTCAATCCACGTCCGATATCCCTTGACAACTTGGACAATGAACGTCCACCTCCCCCGCCACCCATACGATTCAATTCCCAATCAGACCGCAGCCCCGGACACCAACCACCCGTTCACAGCGTCCACCCTTCCCAGGTCTACATGCAGAGCCCGACTGGTATCCACCCAGAGTACCCAAGCCAAATCCCAGTCCACCAAAGGGTGGAGAGTCTGTCCAGCTCGACGGGGGACAGCGGGTTCAACTCCCCGCGATCATCCCTCGCACAGGGCCATAACAACAACTCCCCGGTCGATCAGATGACCTACGACCCGCTCCACAATCGACACAGCACCACCACGGGAATCCCTGTCCTCATCAAGCCTATCCCGCGCCAGACCCAGAACGACTTGGACAACCAGAACATTGACAACAGCAATCGCATGATCAAGTCCACGTCCAACCCCACGCACCTCCACTCCACCTTCGGCAAGCAAGTCAACCCAGCAGATCCGTCGGTGAAGAGAAAGTTCAAGAGTTCAGATACCATGGATGCCATCTCGGACACATCTGAAAAAACGGCGTACAGTGCCATGAGTCGGAGGTCTAGACTAGATCGTCCTAAAAGCTTTGAAGTCATCGGAACAGTATAAACAAAAACAACTTGGTTCTGGTAAAGCCAGGACTAATATAATGGTTTATTTTTAAGCCCAAAACACCTAACAGTTTTGATACTGTATGCCTGCTTAAAGGTTTCAAAAACCTATATAAGTTAAAAGATAATCTAGAATACAGTTATAAGTTACCTAAAAAAATAATCTTTTTGTGACCGTTGTATAAATGTATATAACTCTCTTTTTTCGGTGGATAGTTTTTAAACCAGTTACATTTATCATAGGAAATGAAAGATTAATGTTACATCAGACCTTAATATAATTCTTTTAATACCAAAGATTGTCAAGCTGTGTATTTGTTTTGTTTGTAAAATACTGTACAAAAGATGTCAAATGTTGTACACTGTACCTGTATGAGGTTTAGACTGTTTCTCACGCTAGTTCTTAATGTAAAATAAAATAAATTGTAGATGGTCCACAAAAAATATTTTGTAGAGTAGCAAGACTATAATTTTAGGTTTCTAGAAGTACATTGTTAATATGCATGACTCTTTGTAAAGTAATGTACATTTGTTTCTTGGGGTGGGGGGGGGGGGGTTCTGAGTTCAATATTTGTCAACTCAATTGATTACAGAAAGCTGAAATTGTTCAAATTTGGATGAAACAGCTTAAAGTAGAGACTAGAGATTAAAAGATTTTAGGGGCTTCTGCCATGGAAATATATGTAAATATTGTCAGCCGTTGTATATTTATAAGTCATGTTAAAAATCAAGTTACCATTTCACAACCCAGTGTTTTATTTCTTGTTCAACATACCCTCATATTTTTACCAAATACATGCTGAAATTGGACAGCAAGAATGCTGAAATTGGACAGCAATACATGCATAAAACAAGCATGTTTTTGTTTACATGCATGTGTACATGTACATGATAAGGTGAAAGACGCATTTTATTGGGGAAAAAATATGAGTAGTACATGTATATGACAACACATGCGTAAGTTTTGTACAGATTGTAGGGAAATAAGCACTTAAATTAATGAAACTATAGTAAAAGTGATTAATATTGCGCGATTTGATGTACTTAAGAATCCCTGCGGTTGTTTTGTGAAGTGATCATGTGTAATAGTAATTGAAGCTGCGTCATTTGTAATTATGTGTATAGTTCACTTAGAGTAAAATATCTTGTATATGTTTCTGAGAGTTGCACCAGAAGTTTTGTTCCTCTTGTAAAATATTCACCAATTTGTAAAGCTGCTGCAAAAAAATTATATGATGCACTAAATGTGGGGTAAAATTCATCGAAATGGAAAGAAATCCATGTCAATTTTGAAGGCTAAAATCTCTGTTCAACATATGAGTTGATTTTCCAAAACACCACCAACGCCATTTTGTTCTCTTTTAGAGTCCTACCCTGTTACAGCTGTTGTACTGTGTATATTCTATATGTTTTCATAGCGGTGCACAACTTTTTCACATTTTCAAATGGATATATCGCGTTTTGGATGTAAACTCTTCACGTTTGGACGTATTTGTACTCTTGTATATGCATTGTATGTTGTACAGTGCTGTAATAAGGCAAAATTGTATCTGTTACAAAGCATCTGCTACGAATGAACCATTCATCAACCCAGTTTTGTGGGCTTTCAATTAGCACAGTTCAGCAAGTGAAAAACCACTCAGAATCTCCAAAAAATGTTTGGAGTATAAATATTTACACTCGTTAATGAACCAACCCTTACTTTTAACTTCATTTGCGATTGTTGTATGAATTTCTTTTCATTTCCATGAAACGCTGCCCAAACTAATGTAATAATGTAATTATAAATACTTACAAATTGAAAAGGTCCTTTAATTTATTGTTAACAGTATTTTGTTAGTTTTTGTTGATTTTACTCTTTTTCCATTTGTCTACAATCACTTTCAACAATTAAATGTAATTCAATTGCACTTTAAAATATTCATAAATATATGCACCAAAATATGCATGTTCGTGTTCCTTGTGCTACAGAATTTTGCAATCTTGAAGTATTTTGTTTCACGGCTAATATAACAAAAAGAAAGTGTTTGTCATCATAAATGCACTAGACCTCTAAAAAAAAAAAAAAAAAAACTTGCTTTAATGTCAGGTATTGGTAAGCTTTCTTCCCCTGGTCAGATTTTTTTCATTTATAATTTTATGGAACTTTTTCTAATTTGGACCTCTGTAATTTTAAAGATTATTTAACAATTTCATGCTGAAGAATTGATATTTGTTTAGCTTTAATATTTCAGACAGCCACAAATTCATAAATTAAAAAAATGATCTTATGTGAAATTTTAGGTTTAAAAAAATTGGTCTAGAGAGAGACTTGTAACTTGTTGCTCGCGGGATCTCATTGCATCTTCATCAGTAGTGCAGCCCAATCCTTACGGCCATGCTACACACTCGACCGTATCGCTCGTAATGCCTTGATGTCGATACACCCACAGGCTTCCAGGTGTTCAGGAAGCCAGAGGGATTGTGGGATACCGCCTCGGGAATGGGACTGGTAATAGCCATCGATGGAGCGATGTTCAGAGAATTACTGGCAGGGAAGGGGGGGGGGGGGTTAAGGCTTGTGAATACATGTCTTCTTCAAGGCATTGACAACGAAACATCAATAGTGCAGAAGATAAGCTTTGGGTAAACGGTGAAAGTAGCTGCACTAATGAAGTATCGACCGTCCGTTATCTGAAAGGGGCACATGTTATGGATCAATCGACACTATTGCAGGTTTTTTTTATGCTGCATTCCAAAAAGGACAACTTTGGGTAGATTTATTATAACAACATGTGCTTAATGACTCCATGGATAAACAGTACGTGACGCTTTGTCCTCACTCATGAGAGATCTGTGAGCAGGGCACACACTGTGCGCACACTGCTTCCCGCTTGCATGGCGCGAAGTACGCACAATTTTAATATTCATCTGAACATGCAACTTGCGTACTTAGACTGTGTAGTAAAATTCATTAGTTAGTGATTTGCACTTGGTCACTCTATAAATTGGGGTCCACTTTTTTTTCCTTTCCCTGTTACATCTGACATGTATGATTTTGTAAATTCTGGACGCACTTCTTAATGCCTACCCATCTCAGAATAGATTGAACAAATGTTCAATGATATGTGAGCCGAAAATTAAAAAGTTCAGAGGAAACAGGGACAGGAAAAATGTCACACTTTGGATCCTACATTAAAAGAATGACCCACTTGCCTGAACCCATGATGGAACATTGCCCTACTAAATGTTTATTAGTAAATCTCTCTCAAAAACAATAAACCAGTCATTTTGATTGTTCATGTGCTTGGTAATACCATGGCAATAATCTGCATTTTGACTCATATAACTGGGCATTGTATTTTTGTAGTTTCTGACCTATCCAAAATGGTTATTCATGTCCTTTGCTTATGGAAAGTTCATGACACTGCTAGGCAAAAAATAATTCATGTACTATAAAGCAAAAGTCTGCCGAGTACCAGTCACTAGCAGTATACATTGCATGACTGGTTTGGCTGGTAACCCATTTTGCTAAGCATGTATTTTCTATGCTTAGTAGTTTTCTGCAGTTCCATGTAATGGGACAGATGGTGTTTTTTTAACAAATAATGTCTGGACTGCCCTCAAGAAATGCTTCGCTTGTGATTGAAAAGTTGAGAAGGTTAATGTATTGTGTGTGGGTTGGTGGACTTAATGTGATTAAAAATTTGATCAAGATTGGATTTTGAGGATCCTAAGAATCAAGCTGTGTTTGTATTTCACTTTTGTACATTCATTTGCATGTTCATTGTTTTTAAGTTTAAAAATAATCATTTTAGAATGGTAAAATTGGCTGCAAAGGCTGAAATATGATTATAAAATTTGCAACCAAAATCAGCAAGCTAGATTTATGTGAAAGTGACAAATCAAATCAGCGTTTTGGTTTCTGTAATCTTTCAGTCTGAAGATTATCAGCAGCTATCATTCCGCTCAATTTCATGAGCTTCAATCGACAATCGTACCAAACGCTCGCTCGCTCACAATTAACCCATTTCTCGCTCCTTATTTTTAATCTTTCTCCGTAACGATCCGTGACCCAATTCTGATTTCCGAAACTACCACCAGCCCCCCCCCCCCCCCCCCCCCCCCCCCCCCCCCCCCCCACTGAATCACCATGCGGGGATTTGTACCACTCACGCCATAATAGACCTGAACTGTAAATTGCAAACGCAATTTTTCACTCCGAAAACTCCAATTCTAAGTGAATTTCACCAGGTTTTGGAAGACGGTCACCGTGCCTTGAAGCTAAACCTTGCGCGGCGCGGAGCATTTGTGTCACGGTAGACGAGGGATCACATGCCTCGCCGTGGGCTAATCATAACGATATGGGCCGGCCCCTCAGCAGTGTTTGTATACCGCTGAATCCCGCGCCGGTAACATTATCCATGTACAAAGCATGGGATAATATAATATGGTTGGGTAAAGGTACACCCTGACCCAGACGATGCAAGTATTAATTGACTTCTCTGATCCAAGTCGGAAAGGTGCTTTGCACTTTTCTCGATACTGGATCACCCGGGTTCAGACATCTTAACACTTGACCGACTAACTACTCTACTAGTAACTGACAGATTTCAGCACTACGCAGCATTGTGAATTGTTTTTTTTTTCAATGAATTTCAGACAGCACAGAGCAAGCCCGGAGTAAAAAGGTGTTGCGCCTCATTCTGTTAATCTGAGAAATGTCTTGAAAAACAGAATTAGAAGATTAATATAAGACAAGGAATTAGTCAAAACCGTGCAATTTGGATTTCAGTGAAGACCACTACTGGTTTGTGAAAATGACATTAACATAGACGCCCCCCCCTCTCTCTCCCCCCCCCCCCCAAAAAAAAACCACTCCTGAAACATCCCAAGTATTGGGCAATGCAAAAAAAACCTGAAGATTTCCATTTTATAATAAAACAATTCTAGTGAACAAATTTGTACGGGCCCCTTGATAACGAGGGTACTCCAACACATTACTCATTCAAGTGCCGATCACATAATGAAATTAAAATTGGACACATTGACATTTCTTAATATCTGTGCTTTTATTGCACTTTACATATCTCCAATCTTGCCGTTATACATACCAAGCTCCAACTGTACCAAAAAACTGCCTCATACAGTACCTGCAGGGAATATTCTAATCTCGAAGAATTTTTGTTCCTTTTCTCTTAAGTAATTGGTCTATAGAGTTCACCACACTTGTTGGAGGTACATTTGTTGTAGTAAACGCCTTTTGATTTTTAAGTTTGAAGCGAATGAAAGCCTATTATGAAATTGTACATACACTTGCATATTATTTGAACTACTTTTGAAGAAAAAAAATGGCATTACAATTTATGGATTTGAACTAACATATTAGCACATTGACAGACATTTTAATAACTTAAACTTCAGTTTACTCTTGGGAAACCTGCGGATTATTATTTTTTTTTATATGAGTTGCTTAATATAAACAGTTTCGCTCCTATATACAATCTACCTTTTTCAAAGTACTGGATATTCAAATGTTTAAATTTTATAAGCAGGCTGCTTCAAAAAAAAAAGGACAAGTTAAAAACCTAGACTTAAAGACAATTATTAAATCCATTCAAAACACAGTCCCCCTCATTTTACGACAGAAAAACTTTCTGTAATTTTACTCTTACACTGAATTTGAAACCATGCCTGCTTTTTTTATGCTACATCTTACCAACAACAAATGCAGAAGCACACAACAATTTGAATAATATAGTTTAAATATGATCCTTACCTTTCTTCTAAACGTGGTGGATATTATCGTATTTTGTGACTGAACACTTTCTTTGTGAGCAAATAGTACAGTCAATCGTCAACAATGAAAAAAATAAGTATTCAGTGTGCTCCATTTTCCTCAAATCTAAAAAAGAAAACAAAATCTCAATCAGCAATATAGCACACTGTCGTTTACCTGTACTACTCGCATGATATATTTTACAGATATAAACCACAAATTGAGAATTCCAAATATAAAGGAATGTACAGAGAATCTCATTCTGTGTGTGTCCCACCACTACCTACGAAACAAACAATCGCAAAGTCATGTGAACAAAAGCACCAGGCATCATAACTGGCCGCGGCTACAGTTTGTAATCACAGCTAAATCAACTTCCCATATAGACACGTGTTTTAACACCAGCAGTAGCCATGTAATTTAGATGCGGCCTCACTTACCAAGTCAGTAACATTCCAATTTTGCTTTTTATAAAAGAGATGACGCTTTTTTCTTAACATACATTTGATGTCTATCTCCATTCCCTCGCCAACCTTTTGCCCGCTTTTGATGTATCCCCCCCCCCCCCCGGAAAAAAAAAATCAATTTTGTTGATCCATTTGGCGTCTCAGGTTGAACATTTGTAAGCAGAAATGTAGAACAGTGTATCATTAATGTAGCTCGGCTCTTACTCACTTCGATCAATGTTTCCACTATCGTTACCTTTTTTTTTCTTCTTAATCATTCCTGACCGAGATTTCATCCAAAAAATCAACAAGACGTTCCAGGAATAATGATGATTCACTGGACGGTGGTCTCCATCATATACTGTCATTAATCAAAAACGAGAAGAGAATAAGACGTATGGAAATGGAGACTATCCACATGTAATATATGTCAATTCTAATACGTTTGATCCAAAAACCAAAATTCTGCTGGAAACCTCGAAGCATAATAACAGCACTATGCATGGCTATAAGTTTCTCTGCATTTTCAGTGTTGTACAACACAAACTGTCCTCATTTTTTTACAATGAAATGCAAGAATCCCTTTAAAAAATCAACCAGCACAGCATTTTTCACAGCATTTTTTGTTGAGTAGGCAGTTCAAACACATGTTGTACATTATACATGAACTCTCCAAATGCTGTTACTAGATGTAGCCCACGTGCACTTATCACCTACCTCCAAGATTCTCACAACCAAATCTTTACAACGTTAACCATCCTTCTTAGCTTTACATTATTATCGAGTAAAGTTTTTTTTTTCTTTCTGTAAACAAATTTTATATACAGGTACTGATTTGTAGAATTTGAAAGAAAAAAGCTTTTTTGTAATGTATTGTTGTCTTAAAAACCATGCATGTATAACCCAACAATGTATTCAAATATGGAAAGAATTTGTTACGATACATATATATGTACACTACATCTGCAATTCGATGTTGACAATTTTACATGCTCCAAATTTTTGACAAGCTAAGATTTTTAGACAGAACATATGTTCTATTTCATTTTTTGTTTGCCATTACCTAACAACCGTTTTAGTATGCACTTTTTCTAAAAAAAAACCTTGACCTGATCGTATTAAGCACAATTTTTAAATATTCATAACTTTATTTGCATTGATACACATGGCTCCCGATATTACGGAGAAAAAATGGGAAAATTTGGCCAGCAAGAGAGATTATTTGTTTTTAAACTTGGAACTGGACAGTAAAAGTCTAAAACAGAAAATATGACTATTTTTTGTTTGAAGTCACAATACAATTTCAGACAAAACAACATTCACGTTTTCCTAAAGTTCCCATTTAACACCAAAAAAATGCTCATAAATGTACAGACGTTGGCTTTTTTTTTTACATACAGCAAAGTCGAGGAATGTGAGAATAAGTGATGAAAGGCAGTGGTCAAACACAAAAACAACAACGTGAAGTTTATTTTTACAAAAGACGAGAAGAAATGTTTCACAGATGTATTTACAAGAAAATAGTGCAAATCTGACGTGTAAGTAGCTTCAAAGTTGTTGTTTTTTAAACCCAAGTCCACATTTTCCTACCTAATTCATTTGTTCCTTTGGCATTTTACAACCCTGCTTTTTCCGCGAAATTGTTCTAACTGAAACTACTCACACAGAAAGCATGAACATTCTACAACTCGTGACGAAGATCAAACTGGTACCCAGCCTGTTATGCATGTTACCTATACAGCATCCCACTGACTCCAGTTAATAAGAGCACCCATAAGTTTGTTATCACATTACAAAGATGAATTTTTGACCAATTTAGTTGTTTTTTACACAATCGCAGTTACACGATTATTTCCTCAAATCCGCTTTTAATAATAAACCGCAGTATATACAGTCACGATGTTTTTGTTTGATGTCATTTTAGGGCAAGATAAATTTCCAACTTGAAACTAAATCTTGTACTCACAAACAGATACATATTGGAATGTTGAGAGTATTGTGTAAATGCCATTCTAAAATTTTACAGTAAAATTGTACTGATTTTTGTGTTATGTGAAAAAAAGCTAGTACTTTCTATAGGGTCGAAATAAACAACCAACAAGACAGACACAACTAATTATTATTTATCATAATGTCTTTAAAACTCATTATATTTTGGGTTGAAATACATGTATTTATATTACTTTTTTCCCGACTAGTTCCAACTTAACATCGTGCCATGCCCTTTTTGTTTTGCCTATAAAGGAAATGTAAATTTATTTTTAAGACTGATTTTTGCACATAAACAAACCAATTTTGAAACAGTACATCTTTATACATAACAATAAATATAAAAAGTCAGTGCTCTGGTTATTTCAAAAAATAAAACTTAAAAATGTTCACAAATTTGGTACACATCCTTCGTTAAATCTTGAGAAGATTTAAACATGCTTTTTCTAAGTAACAGAAGTAAGGATTTACAGAAGTAAGGTTTTCCAACAATTTTGAGATAATCCCTTTCAATTAATTTCCAAGATCAGCAAAATCTTGATTGTCAGTAAATAATTTTTCCAAAAGACCAATTATATCAATTGAATTTTTTCAAAATGATTAATCTGACATACCTATTGTTTTCTACGTCACATTCATTTTTTTTAATCAGAACTGGAACAAAAATTTGATTAACATACGCTTAAATATACTGAATATATATTAAATTTGGGTAATTCTTTATTTATAGAGTAAATATTTATAGATTATTTATTTTATTTACGAGTATATACACAATATATATGCACTAGAAAAAAGATTGTTTGTTCGTTCAATACTCCAGTCAGTAGATTGGAGGTCTGGTGATTACTAACTAAGCAACCGATAATTGAATATTTAGTATTTTTTTGTTTTCAATTGTTTCAAGATCTGGTCTTCAAAAATGATTTAGAATTTTTTTATGGGGCTATCGCTCAATCCACATGAACAAAAAAAGCTTTCTTTGCTTGGCCAAAATGTTTGACTGAAAGTCATCAGAAAAGATGTTTTTGTATGAACAACTTATTCATAAATTGTCAAAAACATTTGTTCTTTTTTTCTTCATTTTCTTTCAGTGATACTTTTGAGAATGGAACAGTTAATAACAAACTACATGTTTAAGTTCAGATTTTCCTTTATTTCTATTTATGTGCCTCTAGTCCAGAAATCTTTAAAAGTTTCGTTTTAGTTGAAGCATCAAGATTTATCCAGAAAATCACACTCTTTTAAAAATGGGCTGAACTGAATATATAAAGTATCGTTAAGTGAAAATGGTCATCTGTCTCACACAGGAATTTAGTTTTAAGCCAAAATTTTTTTTCTTCATGGTTCAATTTATTCCATTTTTTGATTCTCAATTTCACCTATCACCAACAAAGGTAAGACTTTTAATGCAATATCCCTACGCAGTGTGATTTGGTCAATTACCGGTTGCTTAGTGACCAGGAGAAGGCACTACCTGTGTTATCAATACACCTTTTCAAGATGTAGTCCCATCGCTTGGAGTCACTTCATCTGTTGCATGCCAACGCAAACTAGCTTCCAACCCAAATGGTCTAATTTGAATTCAAAAAACTATTAATGTTTTGCCAAATTTTTCAAAAATGATTTTTTTTTCCAGTCTCGAATAAATAGAAGCTGGTGAAAAGGCCTTAGAACTTGCTGTGTCTCGTTCAAACTCTTGTAGGACTGAGTCAAGTCTAAGGCGTTTTCAAAATGCTCAAATCAATTTTTTGTAACTTTTAATAATAATAAAAAAATGATTGCACCGCTGGTATGATTTCTCATTAAAATCAAAACATTACTTGTTTATTCTCCTGATCCGCCAACAATTACAGAATTCCTTCAAACCGCCTCCACGGAGACGTGAGTTGACTTTACTACCTAACAGACATAACAAGTGTAGATAGACAATGAAATCCTGAAATCAACAATCCGCCAGAAATGAAGGGAAAAAAAAAGTGAGGAAAATTCTTATGAACGTGTCAGACCTGCCCACTGCGGCCAGCTTCTGTAAACGCTGACAGTTTTTATAAGCGCTCAATGAGGCTGGATGGCTGAGCCAACCTGCCTATAGTGGCCACTTGTTTTAACACAAGAGTTCGGACTGTGAGTGGCTATTCTATACAAAGTGATAAAAATGTGAGAGTGCGACCAAAACAAAAAAAAGCAGGGAAAAAAGTAATGAGCAAAAGTGAGAGATATTATTTATTAACTATATGACATGGCATGACAGAATTTGTTAACCGTCCTCGCTCCGTTTATTGAAGGGTGGTCGTTGGTCCTTAACTTGCTGCTTTCGCTTTTGAGGAGCACCAAAAGAATTCACATACTCGTGGATTAAAAGTACAGGATTGTCGCAAATTTACAAAACGACTGGCATCTTGCTTTTGACCGTGTTAATGACAGCCTGAGGAGCATCTCAAGTGAGCTCATCACCGACTTGCGAAAGGGTCGAGGAGTATTTGGCACACTTCTTGACCTACCAATATCGTATGGCAACTGACACTTCTCTCATATTGCAGGTCGCTGATTAATTACTTCCTGTTGGAATCACTCGAGGCGATTTCTGCTGACCGGATTCGCGCATCTACAAGTGATACGTCTGTCAACTAAGCTGCGTGTTTCGCAGTTGTAGCTTTACTCCTGTGGTTGCTCCACTTACGAAAGGTCAAACTCATTATACAGCTGACAATCCCGTAGCATATTTTTATTTTTAGATCCTTGAGTACGTTTGATGTGAAGTCTTAATAAGAATGCTCCTCAAGCACAACTCGCATCTAAATTCGAAGTTCTTCTTTCCGTACAAAAATCTGCTTAGCGTTCATCCCTGCTAAGCAAGTAAGATCGGTTACCAGCCAAAATTCAATACTTGTAAGTCCATCACAAGAGCCTTACCGATCATCACAAGGGCCTCACAGATCATCGCAAGAGCCTCACAGATCGTTGCAAGAGCCTCGCAGATCATCGCAAGAGCATAATACCAATCATCACAAGAGCCTCACAGCTCATTACAAGATCCTCACAGATCACCGCAAGAGCCTCACAGATCATCGCAAGACTCTCACAGATCATCACAAGTCACAAGCTATTCAAATTAAAATGTGACAAAGGGCATCCCTTTGTTGTTGTTCATCCTTTTAACTTGTGACTGGACTTGTGATTTACTCGTTACCAGACTTATGATGGAATTGAGATGGACTCGACTTTATGGCTTCTCCCAAGTATTGAAAGTTAAGTGAAATACAGACGAAACCCCCTTTTTTCTGATTTTTTGGAAATTTTTCGATGTGAGTTTCTTAGCAGCAAGTGATGGCATTCAAGACCGACAACTCAAGACCAACCCTTCAACAAAGACTCTCTCTAAACACAGGCAGCTACCGTCTCCTGAATCTTGCCAGTCAGAAGAGCAGACAGACCCCCGACTTCTTGTTCTTCTTGGCCTTGCCCGAGGACTGAGGGGTCGCGTCCTGGTAGCTCTGGTGCCGCGCCTTGGCCGACGCCACGATGGCTTTGGGTCGGGAGGTGTCCGGCGCCGAGGTGGTGGACTTGCGTGAGATGGCCGGCATCTGGAGCGAGGTCTGCTTGTGGACCAGCGGCGGTTTGGGTTTGATCGGGAGAACCGTGCTGGAGGATTCTGGAAGAGTCAAGGATGAGGAACATGGAGAGAATGAAAACAAAAGAATTAGATGATCCCCATCGATCGTCAAAAAAGTCTCCTTTTCAAGGAAAAAATTCACTGCTAAATGTAATGAGAGACGAGTTAACTCTTGAGATGCAGTTGAGATCGATACAGTGCAAAAGATATAAGAAAAATTGCAAATAAAGTAATTTTTCATACTTGGTGATAAAAACTTGAAATACGTAATTCGAGAACAGATTTGTGAAGATGAAAAGTAATAATTCACAGAATGAGAGTCAACTGTTGAAAAAAAAGCTTGAAAACAGACAAATACATGTATACATTAATTTAGATCTTTCATCTTGGTATGAGAGAACTTCGACAAATTTTTTTTACAAAAACATGAATTGACAAGAAAACAAATGAAAGAAAAACTTTCAGATTAGAAAATTGGAAGGAAAATTTGTCATTCTAGTAAAAAAAAAATCTGTGCGTTGACTTTGGTTCATGACTTACTGTGCAACGACAATGGGACAGAATTGTGAAAAATGTGTGCAACGTGTTAAGCCATGGACATAAAAAAAATGACGTGGGTCAAAGAAGCTTAACGGGATGCATAAAGTGCTAAGCGTGATTGTGCAAGCAAATAACTTACATTACAGACATTTTGCTTACTCTATAACTTCTCTATATAATCAATTATGAGTACATAAGTCTTAATTCAGTTGTTAGGAAAGTTTTCAAATTACTACTTATTATTTACTTGACATGGAAGACAAACCTTGCAAAAACCACCATCCACTTAGCAGATTAACATAACTGGGTTTACGTGGTAAGCATGAAAATAAACGGATACAGCTAAGGAAATGGTGATAACATGCGTGGGGTGAACATAGGAATGGTGAAACTGTGACAAATGAGTAAAACACTCGATCAGATATCAGAAGGAAGCGAAAACAGTGACGCTCAGCACATAACCGTGGATTCGAATCAACAGGCTATTACGTTTTTAAGGTTTTGGACAAATGGGTACACATGTCTGGAAAAAAATGAAAAAGTACGGTTGCATTGGAAAGACAGACTGACGTGTGGCAACAAGTTGATTAAACAGGAGTGATCGGAGTGGAAATCCATGCAATATATCAACGGTTGCCACCGACCTTCCTCTGTACCGGGCTCACTAGGTCGCGAATCACGCTGGCCTAAATTCAACAAAATTCATAAGTAAACAAAAATCAAATCAAATCAAATCAAATCGAAATCTTATCTGACTACATTGAGGGATTTTAATATGTTGGTTCGTTTTTGAGAAGTTGACTGACGAGAGGAGACTCAAAACATGCGAGGACCGAGAAAATCTTTTAAAATTGTGCCAGACGATTTCATATGAGAGTGTCTTCAATGTAAGGGTTGTATGGATGCCTTCAAAGGTAAACAGGTAGTTTGAAAGAGGTCCGTCTGACTGCAGACTCAAAAAGAATTTGTGAGGCTCATATCAAAGCATCATGTACATTTGTACAAAACCGAACTAGAGTTCAGATCTTATTAGGGAATTTGTCCGAGTACCATAACTGAAATAAACACAACACCTAAAGAAAATACAAAATGAGAGAAAAAAAAGAGGGTCCCCATCACCAAATGGAATCTGCCACGCAAATGACACCACTATTGATAGGCCGTGTCAAATTACTTGGCTACGGCTATCAAATTACACACAAGTCTATGAGAAGTGGCTGCAGCCGCTACCATAGACACGTGTTATTTCAAGCTGCGGCTAAGTAATTCGGACACAACCATATTTGGAGGGAGGGGGGAGCAGGGGTTGGGTTGCTGGATGAGGGGTGTATGTTGGGGTGCACATTGGCAAGCACGCTGGGACTTTGGGGTTTGGTGATTTTTTGGTGGGAGTGTCTTGCTGATGTAGATGGGGGTTGTGCAAAAATAAAATCCGCAAAAAAAACCATTATGCCAAACCCATTTGTTTTTAAGTCCACCTCAAAGAGAAGGGTCCAACTTTTAGGAGTGGTGTCTTTGAGCTATGGGTAGCAGAAATTTTTCTTGAGAAATATTGATTATCCCAATTCTGACAGAATCTATCAAGATCCAACGGTAGGCACATTCTGTTGGATCTTAACACTGCGATAATGGTGTTGAATTCAGCGAGTTTCTAGCAGCACCATGAAATTGGGCCAAGGTTGTTAATGTTTTTGCTGGTTGAGATTTGTTGGTTGAATAGCATTAAATTTCTTCAATTATTTTTTTCCCCTTTTTGGTCCGCCCCATGACCAACTCACCTTCCCGGATGTCGATGTCCACCTGGCTCTGCGACTTGATGTCCGTCGCCGGGCTGTTGTGTAGGCAGAGCAGCGGCGCGCAACCTCCCTCCAGCAGACGGACGACAATGTGGCTGGCGTCAAATGACATCTGCAGCTCTGCCACACGGACGTTCATGTGGAACGCCGTGACTAGCAGGCCGGTCTGCACGGCCCAGACACGCACTGTACCATCGTGAGAACCTAACATCGAGAAATTCCTCACCAAATTAGCACAAGCAAGACGAAAAAGGTAAAAAAGCGCCCTCTTTTGTAAGTGCACAGAGCCCGTGTTAAAAATTTCTTGATTCCGAGTGCCAAAGTTCCCGAGAAAGGAGCCGATTTGGTGACGCCCTCTACCTTTGCATGAGAACAAACAAAATCCGAATCCCGTCTTGAAAGAAGACTACTTTCTTACCAGAAACCACAATACTGCCATCGCTGGTCATCTTGGCGCTGGTGACAATGTCCGTGTGGCCGGTCAGCACCTTCTCAATCTCACCGGTACCCATGTTCCAGATGATCAGCGTCTTGTCATGTGACCCTGAGATCACATGACGGTTGTGGTCGGCCGTGGCGACACAGGATACCTTGTCATCGTGCCCAGCGAGGATCTAGGGGACAGAATTAAGAGAAAATCTATTTTGTTAGTGTTTAAGACAAAAGACCTTTAGACCATTTTTAAAAAATTGCTTGGGAACAAACCTGAGTGAGTTTTCCAGTCTCCGTCTCCCAGATCTTGAGTGACATATCCTCGGACCCGGTGATGGTGAAGTGGTTGTCCTTGGTCACCACCAGGCAGGTGATGGTCTCCACGTGGTTGATGGTCTTGACCGACTCCCCACTGCCCACGGACCAGATCTTCATCAGCTCGTTGCGATCACCGCTGATGGCAAAGTCGTTGTTGGGGGTCAGGGTGACCATGGAGGACGGGCCGCTGCACGAGAGCAGGACCTGGTAACAAAAAGGTTGGGAAAACATGGATAATTTATCTACATTTGTTATTGGTCAAGTTAACTTTTTAATGAAATTCTTGTGTCGGGCTGTTGTACATTTAAAAAACGTTGGCTTCGGCTCCCACACTATATGATCAGTACTTTCTCAGAGGTTTGTAAGTTTACTCAGGTGGGATAAAAGACAAACCTATAAATATATATCTCCTGTGCCCTACAAAATTGTAGTCTAAAACTGTGCCATCACTTATAACGAGAGAAAAATTGCCTTCTTTTTAGCCCCCCCAAAAGAGATATAATCGTAAGCGACGTGTCTTCCCTACCTCGCCGGATTCAGCCCTCCACAGCTTCATGTGGTTACTGAAGTCGGCCGACAGGATGCGCTTGTTGTCTGACGTGATGAGAACGTTTGAGATGACATCTGAGTGTTCGGTGAAATACACGACCACCACCCCAGAGCCAGCACTCCAGACACGCACTGACTTATCCTCAGAACCTTGGAAGAAAATGAATTAATTTTTTTCATGAAGCATGCTTGTTTGTTGTTTAAAAGTTGGGATAGGATTGGCTAGGAAAAAGGCTTAGATAATAAATATTCATAAGGGGTGTGGTTTGGCCTACCTGATACAGTACAACTTGCATCATCAGCCAGAGCCACGCATGTAATTGGTTTAGTGTGCTCTCATCGAATATTCATTGTTTGAAAAAATTATATAATTGATGGGATTGGCCAGAACATAGACTCTGGTAATCAATATTGATAAGGGAGGCGTGGCTGGACCTAGCCGATACGGCAAACCTATCATCAGGCAGAGCTATGCATCGGATTTGCTTGGTGTGCTCGCATAGAATATTCATCATTTGGAAAAAAGCTCATGGAATTGGCGAGAACTGAGACTCCGGAATAAATATTCATAAGGGGGCGTGGTCAGACCTACCAGATACAGCAAAGCTTGCATCGTCAGCCAGAGCGACGCACGTGATTGGCTTGGTGTGCTCGCATAGAATATTCATCATCTGGCTCTGTTCCAGGTTCCATAGTCTAAGCGTGCAGTCGGTGGAGCCAGTGATGGCAAATATCCCCTCCTTGCTCAGAGCTGTTGAAAGGAAAAATAAAATAAATTGACCAATTTGAAGTATTCTTGAGATATAAGTTCTCCTCTTCAAATTCATTAATGAAACTTTGTTAGTATTTTTTCCAGATCCTTCATAATCCTTAAAAATCCTCTATTTTGCAGGGGCCAATTTCAGGGAGCTCCTAAGCAAATATTCTGAGCAGAGAAAATATCTGCTAAACAAAAAACAGGTTACCAGCCAAAATGACATGTGATTTATACCGCCTGCAGCTGGTTCCCAGCTAAATTTTGTTTAGCACAAAAAAAAATTGCCAAGTGATATTGGGCCACTGACAAACTTGAAGACTACTACTATTTCCTGAAATGGCAGACACTAAATATGGTTACCTGGGGTTACCAAGTTGAAATGCTGCCCAAATGAAGTTCGTTTTGTAAAAGCTACAAATTATCACAACCAGTGAAAATCTGACAACTGGGATATAATTTTCAGAGTCGAATGAAGAAATTGACTGGAGTAGGGCTTGAACCTGTGACCTCAGGATTACTGCTCCGGTGCTCTACCAACTGAGCTATCCAGCCCTACTATGTACGCAGTTCCCCAATCTGTCAATGTCTCTGGTCAAGGGGCGCTAGTCAGAAGACATAAACCCGTAGATGTCATGTAACCAGGCATGACACCCAAAGTCACGATACTAGCAACATTAACAAGGCATGCTGCTTTGAGAATGTCAATGGCGTTCAATGAACTGCAAAGACTATCTTGAGGCATATTATTCTATTCAAATTTAATCAGATTCTAATTGTGCCCAAACAAAATGCCCATGCACACAGACAGCAGGGACAAATCACATCTTATTAAGACTTCATTTGCCAACAAATCCCTGCCATATGTTGGAAAGGAATGATTTTTACGGACATAAAACTGAAAAAAACAACTAGCTTGTGTCTGGAGGCAATACCACTCTATCATACTTACATGTAACTGAAGCCCTAAGAGAAAAATGAGACAGATCTAATTAAAAGTGTTCCGTTGTGAAACTGCGATGACGTGCGCTAGCCCCCAGGGGGAGTATCAACGAACATCGGAACAGCTGGATTTCAAATGCTCTCCCTCCGTCACCGAGAGTATTGATCATATCAAGACGGCCCAACAGTCGAACCCCCCCCCCCCCTCTTAAAGCTGACAAACAATTGAACGATTTGTTCTAGAAGATGTCAACAGGTAACGAGCTTCGGAGGCTTTCTGTCACAAAAGCTTAAAAATCTACATTAGAGGTAGTGTTTTCTTGGCCGTGGGGCTTTCGATAATTGACCGTCTCGAGTGAACTGACAAGACTGGGAAAAACAACACTTCACACATTTGTCGAGTGGAAAGCCACATCTCCTCATTGCAATACCATCCGTAATGTGGGAGATATTCTGAAGTTTCTTAAATGTCAGTAAGCATTTATAAAAAAAGGTTCAATAAAACTGATCATAAGCACGTGATTTAGAACCCTTTTTTTGGTACATGCATTGTGGTGCAAACAAAATGGTTGGCAACGTCTAGTTTTTGACTTGTTTTGATTTTTGGATTAAAAAGATCTGGGGGTTTTTACCGAAATGGTATTTATAATTGGGAATAAATATGTGCTTGGTCAGTATTAAACACTCTGTTTAAGACTAGTTGGAGTCTGGATGCTGATAATTACCCACCCAGACTCCAACTGGTCATAAACAGAGTGTTTAATACCTCCCAAACATTTATTCCCTTATTATACATTTGATTGTTTAACCAAATCAAAAGGCACCAACCTTTGGTTTTGTAAAACAATTTGGACTGTTGGATAGTTTAACCTCTTAGCCCCTGTATCACCCAAAACCATGCTGCCTGTTATCCCCTGTACCGCCCAAAACTACCCAGCACTCTATGGGTTTTATGGATTCAACTAGAAATAACTACACTGTAATACAATGTATACAATGTAATACAATGTACTACAATGTAACACAATGTAACACAGGTGCTAATGGGTTAAGAATGCCCTTGGCTTGATCATATGACCTACCAATGCATGTGACCTTGTCTTGGTGTGAGTAAGGCGACACCTCCGAGTTGGACTTCTTGGGCATGTTCCAGACTCTGATGTTACCGTCCATGCTGGCGGTCATCACGAAATGACCATCGCGCGTCACGGCCACGGTGGACACGGGACCTTTGTGGCCGGTCAGCGTCTGCACGATCTCTTGCGTCTTGATGTTGTAGACCAGGACTTTGTGCTTGATGGTCGCTATGGCGACGTGGTTGCCGTCGGCGCAGGTGCTGAGGTCGACGATCTGCAACAGGAAGAAAGAGGGCTTTTGAAGACGGATCTACACAGCAGTTGGTAAACTTGAGAAAGACTGTTTGTCCAACAACCAACAATTTTTGCTAAGGTCATAGTAATTGATCTCAAACAGATTCCTTGTAACCATTATTCACTGATCTTACACCTTTAGTCACTGTACAGCCCGAAACCGCCCTGCCTATTGTCGCCCAAGCACTCAATGTAATACAAGGTAGAACAGTTGCTGATGGGTTATGAACTGTTCATAAGATAAAATGCTGGAATCAGGTTGATGTAAATCAATATCACCGACGTATAAACACTGTATACTCAGTGTGTTACCTCCTGAGTGAAAGTTGGAAAAAGTCACTTGGGGGGACTGGAACCCACGACCCTCTGCTTTCTAGTGCAGATGTCTTACCACTCGACCACCGAGCTTGCGGGATCGGTTGGCTGGTTCGAATCTGATGTACATACAGCAGTGGGTACCGCATTAACTATTCATAAGATGGAAGTTTGCGTCGGGTGATGTAAATCAAAACAGGTTTTTTAATTAACTGGTAAGCATAATTTTTTAGGTGGGGAAAAATAAATCTCTAGAAATGCCTACATTTTCATCATGCTGCTCAAGGCAGTGGACCTCAGAACCAGTTGGTAAGCAGCTGATTTGAACTTTCTTGTCCTCGTAAGCTGGACGAAAGAGGGAAAAAGGAGAAATTTTAGCAAACATTTTAGTGGCTAACATATTCACCCACAAGTATTTTAACAACATGAGATATTCAAGGTTTTTTAATAATTTGTCTTGCAGTTTTTGCAATGACCTTTCACAAAAGGTACCAGTTGATGTATTTTGTTTTGTAAGAAATATTGACTTAAAACAAGTTTTAGAATTTGCCAGATTTGACATACCTGTGATAATGAACATGTCATCTGAGGATATGGTCATGTGAGTGATCAGGCATTTGTGGCCCTCGATCACGTCGAGCTGCGTGAAGTTCTCCAAACTCCACGTCTGAGAATCAAATGAGCAACACAAGGAGAAAACAAATTAGTGTCAACTTGTTTTGCTTGACTGTCATAAAATGGTGGCAAAATATTCTACCACCTTGATGGCGTAAGAGCTAGCGCAGTCATCAAGACATTTTCAGTCATTTCAAACTTAATAATTTCTCTGTTATATTAAAAAAAAGTGAGCTTGAAATGACTTAAAATCGAAAATTCCACCTACAAGATGCTCACAACCCTACGAGAAGTTCATTGTCTTTTCTCACCCTTATAGTTGAATCAGCGGCAGCGGACACAAGCACGTCATCATGGCTGTTGACGGAGATAGCGATCACCGCGTCCCTGTGCCCCTCCAGTGTCTTCTCCAAGGCCTTCGTCCCGCTGTTGAAGACCCGTAACTTGTAGTCGGCCGAGCCACTGATGATCCGCTCACCCTTGTGGGTCATCCGGACTGAAGTGACCACTCCTTTGTGTTCGGCCAGCGTGGCCGCGCACTCGGCTTTGTCCGTGCACCAGACCTTGACCGTTTTGTCGGTGGACCCGGTCAGGAGCCATCTTGGTGGAAACGGACAAAATTAACTTGTTGAGGATGTATGCACATTCAATAGTGGACTTTAAAAAACAGAGGACAATGGGGTCCACTATTGGATGAAAGTCCACAGTTGGCAATCACATACAAAATCAATGGAGTTCTTCCCGAAAAGTGTACATGCATTCAATAGTGGACCTTGAACAACAGAGGACAATAGGTCTCTCTCAAAGACAGCCATCTCTGTAGGAGAACTGCAACTGTGTATTTTACGCAATCAAGCACGCACTGCGCAGTGTCGAAAATGTTCCAGACACGCGCACTTGTTGCTCGAAATGTGTTCGAAATATGATGCAGATGATGTGCGTTATGCAAGTTGACGCCAGACTGATAATGGACCATTTTACAATGGGATGTGATTCCTCACATACCTGTTGTCGTCCGAGGTCTGAATGCAGGTCACCTCCATGTCGTGACCCTTGACCTCCCACACCTTCTCATGCGAGGCCACCCGGAACGCGGCCAGGAACGTGTCCCGTATGACGCAGTACACCACCTGGTTGTCATTGGACAGCGCCATCTTCTGAATGGCGCCCTCGCAGGGCACGGTGGTGACGTAGGGCTCGCGGGGCGTCGGCAGCCAGGAGGCGAGGGGCACGATGAGGGGCCGCGTGAACTGCTCGCACCACTCCATGGACTGGTTGACCAGGTATTCTAAGCTGCCTGGGTAGTCCACTGAGAGTCGAAAATCAACAAAGAAAATGAAAAAAAACCTCTAAAAATCTTGAAGCAGGTTTGATCAAGAACTGTGGCTAACTATACTCTCACTGAAAGCTAGACAAGGAAAGTTCGACTAGACTAGGGTTGAGATTGTCAATTTAAAAACAAAAATCTGAAAATTGGATGAAAGGTCTGCAAGATGCACTTCTTTCTATACTGATTATGTCTTTCTCTCAGATTCAGAAAGTCTGATTTTTGAAAGAAAAAAGTCTGAAAAATCTCACGTCTGTAGTCTAGTGGACTATATGGAACCAGCCTAGTTGATAAGTCACATTGTTGGTTAATAACACATTTTAATTAACCTGATGTAGTGACATGTTTCGGGAATTTACAAGATAACAAGATTGTGAATGCATCTTAAAAATAATGTGTGACTTATGTACCTCTGTAAAGATGTTGAAATTACCCATCAGAAATTATACAGTAATGTACATTTAAATTTGATGACACCTCAAGTAAGCATTTAAAGGCTTAACAAGGAATACAGTTCTTTGACAAATTTTTACCAGGTGTTTCCTAAATTGTTTGAAAGTTTCCAAATTTCTGGAAAATCATTGCAAATACAAGCATCCCTTCACCCCTAAAAGGTTTCCTCAAACGCCCTGAAGCTATTTTTGACCAAGAACTGGAAATAACTAAGGCCATATCTTAGACAGGCAACACTGTCTATGCCTACAGCTTTTAACTATAGCCATTAAAAATCTGATTTGGAAAAGCCTTACTGACCTTTGACCGGTAGTAACCGACCAATCAGCTCGGCCGCCAGCTGCAGCGGGTCGGCCGTCAGCGCCGGAGCGCTGAGCAGGATTGCGCTTCGGGTCAGGTCTATCTCCGAGTCGATGACCATGCTGCGGACCGTGTCAAAGTCCTGCAGCAGCTGGTAGACAGACATGGCGTGGGCCTTGGCCAGGAGGTACTCAAAGTTGCACAGGGTGGAGGACTTGAGACGCTTCAGGTCGCCTGTGGATTGAAAAGATAAAAAGGCAGGATTTCCAAGAGAGTTTGTGGTGTGTTTTCAAACAACAAATTCCAAAAACTATTTGGTTCTGACATGACAGTGTGCTACACACATAAAATTAACGTCAACAAATTCCTAAGAAAACTATTATTGTCCGATTTTAAATACAGATTGGAACAATAATGTCTGATGTTTTTCATCACGTAAAATCTAAAAATCTTTTATAATTTAGACCTTACCTAAGATTGGTGAGTCCAAAAGAAATCATTTTGTGATCAAAATCACACTGCATTAGTTCATATTAAATCAGGCACTTCCAGACTTACACAAATCTATAAGCTTCAGAATTGGTTTGAAGAAAGAAATCCTATTAAGAAGGCTACAGACAAAAGACTGTCATACATTTTGACATTGTAACTGACTTCGTTCAAAAAGTTTTTTTTCACTAGTTTGCCATTTCATTGAATCCAGTTTTTGCAATGGGCAATAACATTTATGTTTTATTTTATTTTTGCGTACACCTACCAGCATGTGCCAAGTGGTACCACAACTCGCTGAGCCTCCGCATATTGTATCTGGTCTCCCCGTACAGCAGCGGCTGGGGCGCGACTTTCCGCCCCGCATCCACCCCGTCCAGGTCACGCCCCGGCAGCGACCACGTCTTCTCCTTGACCCAGCCTTGCAGGAACAGCTGCGCGATGTGGGCGTGACATTCCACCAGGAGGCAGCTGTTGGTGAAGTAGCGCTGGGCGGCGATCTGACGGATGACCGAGCCGCTCCACGTCAGGAGGGTCTTGTTGTCCATGAAATGCTCTTCGAGTAAAGATCCTGATATATAAAATTGGAAAAAGAAAAAAATACCAATTGGGTGACATTCTCGCAAGTCCACCGTAACTCCACTGCAAGTCCTCAAAAGTCCCTCACAAGACTTCATAAGTCCTTAAAAGTCAGCAGTCCTCACAAGTCTTTACAAGTCCTCACAAATCCTCGTAAGTCCTCATGAGTCAGAAAACCTCACAAGTTTACATGAGTCCTCACAAGTCCTCATAAGTCCTCACAAGTCCTCATAAGTCCTACAAGTACCTCACAAGTCCTCACAAGTCCTCATAAGTCCTAACAAGTCCTCACAAGTCAGAAGCCCTCACAAGTCCTCACAAGTCAAAAGTCCTCATAAGTGCCAACAAGTGTATCACAAGACATCCACTGCACAAGTCAAGTCAAATGCTATTTAAATACGGCAATCACTGGTTACTAGTCAACAATAACGTTATGGGACCGAGAGCTACACTTACCCAAATCAAACTTGATAGCGGCCCAGAGATGATAGGGGAACCTGATGAGTTGAGGGAGGGAGTCGGGATAGATGCTGTCTAGGAGCTTGTCGTCGCAAGACAAGAGATCCAGAAGCTCTGCCTCCGTCAGGCCGTGATGTGCTACCGTCAGGTATCTGAGAATGGTGCAAAGAATCCATTGGGAAAAGAATTCAGTACACAGAAACTGAACATTAAATCTTGAGGCACCCTAATCCTGCAAAATCCACAAATATTCAGGAATTGAATGGCAGGTGTTTTGAACATTTTAACTTTTAAGGGACATCAAGTCTCATGTTAAGTAAGAGGGACTGGGGTCTACCTTTCTAAAACCTGCAAAATCTTCCAAAACCTCCTGATCCAAGTTTGAAAAATATAAGAGGTTTAATCAATTTTTCAGAATTGAATGTTTTGCAAGTTTCAGTTAGCAAATTTAGCAGAAAAAAATTAATTGTCTTGCAAACACGCCGATTCTTGCTGAATCACTTGGTTGCCTATTTTTGCTAAGCAGAAGTTTCAGTTGGCCAGTTTCGGTACTTGGCCAGTTTCATCAGTGTTCTACTTCTACAGGTACTGAACCATACATATTGAAGAAAATACAAAGGACGATGGAAAGACATTATTTTTCTCAGCTGTTTATAGATTTGTGTTTTGAGTGATTTGCAAATTAATAGAGGCTTCTTTCTTGAGATGAAGTATCACCTAAGTATGTGACTTGTCATCGTGACACCATGCCTCTCCTCCACATGCTGTAGGACAAGATTAGCTGCCTCATTCAGCGCTGCCACTGGGTCCCTTCCGTTCCCTGATGGGTTCACAAACTGCGCCTCATGACACATCAACTTGGCAAACATCGGTAGGGGGTGCCTGGCCACTGCCCGGGTCACAATCTTGACTTGGTCTGCCGCCAACGGCCGCGAGTTCTCCGTCAAAAAGAGTTTGACCAGTTCAGAGAGTTCCCGGTCGTTGAGGGAGGTCACGCGGATGAAGTGGTTCTGGTTTGAGATCTTTTCATGGAGGACCTTGAGGGCTGGGGAGTCGGAGAGCGAGATCACCATGTGGGTGGAGGCGGGGAATTCGCAAGGGAGCCAGTCCAGGAGTTTTTTGGTGAGGTGTTGCGAGATCTCTTCCGGGATGTCGACCACGATGAGGAGAGGCTTGGCTTGGCTAGGCACGGTGGTCACTAGCTTTACGAAGAACTCGGCTAGCTTCTCTCCCTCTCGCGGGAGGTCGGTCAGTTTCTTGGGTTTGTAGGCTTCTATGATTTGCCGACTGGCGCTCTCCAGGAAATCCCGCATGGACTTGCAGTTAGTGGTCCGGCCCATGAAGCGCGCCACCATTGTCACGCCCTCGCCGAGCCACGTGGGCGCCAGGTGGACCAACTGCGAGACCACTGTAGTTTTGCCACTACCGGCCTCCCCGTGTAAGATGATGGGATGGTTCTCTTTCCGGGCTTCCGCCTTCAAAGGATTCACCAACCCCTCCACTTGGTTGATGACTGAATCCCGGCTGATGAAATTGTTCTTCCGCAGAGCGGCGATCTGGCCGTGCGCCACCACTTCTGACAAGACGCTCTTGGAGTTGTCCACGTTGCGCGAGTTCTCCTTCTCCTTGCCAACCTCTTCATTGATGAGCTCCTTGATTCTGAAGATGATCTGTGATGTCATCTCCTTGATGTAGTGAGCGTGTTCGTCATTGTTCTTTGGATCCATGCCACCTGTCGACCAAGGGGTCGAGTACATGAAAATGTTCTCCTCGCAGACCAAGGAGGGAATCTTTGTCTCTTTGAGGAACTTGATCCTCTCCTGGGCTTTCTTGTAGATCTTGGGCCTGCTGGGCTTCCGGATGTCCACGTAATTGTGCATCTCTTGGTTCTCCACGTTTTGCGGAAAGTCATCCAAGGTGCGGAAAATGTACAGGCATTTTCTGCTTGCATCGTTGGAAAGCTGGTGAGCATGGATGATCTCATTTTCGATTGCTGCACAAGAGAGAACAAAAAAAAACGGATCCCATACATTTAAATAGATATTACCTGGGTATGAAACAACACACCTTACAAAGAATCACAAGGGATCGTAAGCCACCCAAACCACTCCCCCTCCTCTATTCGTTACCTGACATGTGATATTTGTGGAGTTGTTCTTCATTGAGCAGCCCTTCGTCGTGGACATACTCTGAGCACTGCTGGAGGATCTCCAGCAACGAGTCGTGCGTCTTCTTCCATTTGGCAACATCTTTCTCGTGCGCTTCCTTGTTCTCCTCACTCCTGTAGAAAGGTGAGTTAAGATGATAAGGGGTTGGTGGTAGGCTGGTTTGGATGAAACCCTGTGGCCCTGGGCAAGACACTTTGCTACAATTGCCGTTGACAATCAATGTTGCTAAGGGGTTTGTGGTAAGGTGATTTTAAATCCAACTCTGATGGAATGTGGTTTTTGTGTCCTTGGGCAAGACAGTTTACTACAATTGCCTCTGTCAAGCAAAGATTGTAAAGAGTTGGTAGAATGATGGCGTTGTGTTCTCGGACAAGACTACTACAATTGCCTCTCTCCAACCGGGAGTATAAATGGGTACATATGAGGCTAGCGACCACATTGTGCTGACCTCAGTCATAGGACTTAAGACTTTAGCTTACATGACACAGGTAACAGGACTTTAGCTGAAATGCAGTGCATATTTCCTATAGATATGTGGTTTACCGGTTTCAGTATAACTCTAGCTCAGCAGAAAGCAAGTTGTCACGTATAAGGAAAAGTACTTACAGGTCATAGTAGTACTTTAGCTTAGCAGATATCGGTGACAGTGTGTAGACTTGATCCTGTACATCTGCCTCTGGTACGTACCACTCATCTAAGATATTAATATCTGAAACAAAAAGAAAAGGATAAACAATGGTTAGAAAAAGAATCCAAAATGGTCATTGTTTATAAATTTAATTATTTTATAGACTTAATCACAGAGAAAAAAAAGTTAAATCTTTCAACATTTTGTAAAACCTTTTTCACTACACTTTAAAAACGTGTTAGTTTCAAGAAAAAACAGGGATCTGGGCAAAGTGAGAACACTGGTGCTAATGTTGTTATTTTTACCTTTTCCAGCTTCGAATGCACAATCCCTGATGTGACTGAATTCCGTTGAGTCAATCCGTGTGGGCAACACGTAGTCTCCGTATTTGTTGCCTATGATGGACTACGAGAAGACAAAACAAGAAAAACAAAGAAACATTCGGATGAGTAAATTTGCCGTTGTTAAGTGGATGCCACTGTTTTCAGGCTGTTGGAGTGGTTCTTTTCTGGGCAACTGACAGCTCCGTAGGGTGGGATTTTATTGGCCCATGAAAGGAGGATTTGTAAATGGAAGAAATCGAGGCATTTTAAGGTAATGAAGAGTCGTATCTGTAGTGAAACTTCACCTTGCAAACTTTGGCCAGATATTGTTTACCACTTGAGACTCCATGAACACATATTTTGGGAGATAAAATAGAATAAATGTGAAATTATACTACGATTACCTATAAGGTTAGGCCTGTAGTTTAATTTCAACTGCACTCATTATTGGACTGGATAAGCATTACCAAGCGGCTTAAAATATTAAAAATATGAAGCTCATAAGTATGTGAGACAACTTAAAAAATATTTGATTTAAAAAAACCATAAAGTGTCTCAGTCCAGAATGAACTAACACCTGGACAAATATGCATATTCATTAGCAGGTCCCTGCCGTGAATATTCAAACAGTTCTGTCCATCTCTCACTTGAGGCAGGTTTGTCCAACATGCATAATCATGAGCAGGTCACTGCTATGAACTTTGAAATAGCTACGCCCGCCTGCTGCTTGTTTGCTGCAGGTCTGGTCAAACATGAATAAACATTTGACCAGGTTTGACCAACCTGCATAATTATGAGCAGGTCACTGCCATGAATATTGAAATAGCTACGCCCGCCTCCTACTTGCTTGATGCAGGTCTGGTCAAACATGAATAATCATGAGACGGTCATCCATGCATATTCAAATAGTAACACCCACATTTCTTGCCATCTAATTCGCCCAACCTCCACAGACCTTGCCTGCAATGTCTTGCTGCAAATAGCTGTATCAGTTATCCAGATGCTTTCTGTTCAGTAGAAACTCTAGTTTCCCTACAGTTGCTTTCCTCCCCCCCCCCCCCCTTTTTTTCTTTTGAAAGACATTATCTGCGCCACTCGGCGCCTTCAAGGCAATTTCTTTCTTCTCCCTTCCGATCCAGCACCCAAAATGTCACCCAAACATCTTCAGATATCCAATTTCTTTCCTTAATGGCATTTCAGACCGACACGCAGATCTGTTTGCCTCAAGATGATATCTCGATGAAATGGAGACTTCCAGTTCCTTTCAATTTTTTGGCTCAATTTCCAAATGTCAGTGGCCACAATTGGCTGTCAATAAATTTTTGATGATGTTATCATTGAATTACATTCCATCCCGACATTGAAAAATTAATTTTTTTGACTTTCCAGCTGTCAGCTGATATGTATTCCGATGAAAATTTAATTACGGAAATGAAGGAGAATTTAATGAGTAAGGCAGGTTTTGAAAGAATACTCCAGCAGGCATTTTCAAATATTTTTCATTGGATTTTGACACTTTTCTCTTACCCCCATAGTTTTTTTAAGAATTGCAAATTTAAATGTAAATACCACTTCACAAACAGATCATTCTGGTTTTGGTAACAAAACTCTGTAACTGGCAACTTCAGTAATTAGAATTCCTTGAACAAAGAAAGAAAACAGCTTCAAGAGAACTGGCGGAAGACTGCAGACGGAATAAGTCGGTCATAAAACCCAAAACCTCCATCAGATAATTTTTCTCTCTCAGGATGCAATCTCTCCGCCTCCGTCTCCCGACTCTCTCAGATCAAGACCCCTACTCCCCCCCCCCACCCCTGGGGCATTCTAGATGAGTCAGTTGCCCAGTGACTCATCCATTCTTTCTTTCTTTTCCAAAACAGTAGCGCCTGAAAAGAGACGATTCTGTTCTAGTTATCGGAGATCCGCAAGGGACTCTTTCCTTTCTGTTTGCTTTAAATGATTTCAACTGGTGAGCCAAGGTGGCCAAGCAACAGAAATATCTCTGATTTCACTCTTTTTTTCTTTTTTACAATACCCAACAGCTACCGTACTCTGAGCTAGAGAACAGTTATAATTATCTTCAAAGATACAGATTATTCTAAAAGAAACAAGTACAATCCCAAAGATATTATTTTTGATGCCACTTTTCTGGAAATAAAACCGAAGGATTCAATATAAATAAAAAAAAAATGTAGGGCAAAATATCCCAAATTAAAATTGTCACTTAATGTCCACCTTTTATGTTGGGAGTGGAGTTGGGGGGGGGGGGGGGGAGTAGAGATGGGGGGGGGGGGGAGAAAGACAAGTTATCACTTTATTAAGACGTGAAACTTGACACCCAAAACAACAGCACCTTTCAATAATCCTCAAGCTGATGTATATATCCACTTTGCCTCCATACTATCGCCACCATTCCGCATTGACGTTAATCGCCGCAGCAGGCAATTTTTCTAACAGTGCTAAATTGTGTTCAGGTCAAAAGACCTCCGGCCGTCCATGCCACAAACACAAACGTTGTTTTTCTTTTTCGCATGTATATTTTATGCGCAAACCTACAACTACATCAATTTGACGCTCGCAATTTAACGGATATATGAGCGTCAAATCTGACGGATGGAATTTGATGCCACGATATCAGCGATGCAGTGGAGCATGTAAAAAGCGCGGGGGAGGGTGGGGGGGGGGGGGTTCATGCAGATAGGCTGGCTTAAATCTACTGAAAGCATCGCCTGCCGATGCATGCACAGGCGATGAAGTTCTGATATTACTGGCGGGACTGCATGCATGATGTACCTCGATCGGCGCACTGAGAATTGGTGGGTTTGTTTTCTTAAGAAGCAAATTCATTATTTCTACGGAAGGTTTTTGCATCATGATTTAGCTGCATGTTTAAGACATCATGACACCTCATTCAATGAGGACAGTATGATTTTGTGCAATGCAACTGCAGCCCTTTTCACAACATGAAGGATTTTACACAGCTTACTTAACACAGTACTGAAATTGAATAAGGCCAAGAACTTGGTCACAGTGTCCAAAAATGTTGTTGTGATCAATTGACAATTGTGCAGTGATGCGTGACTGAAATTAAATGAAACTCGTAGGGGTTTAGGCCAAGGCTAAGGAGTATCTGCACAACCCAAAATTTTCAAAATTGACCTCATGTTTTGAAGTTATTTTTAAAAATAGTCAGACGGACACCTTTTTTTTTGGACATACTGTAAGGTGAACAGTGATGTGCACGTGATGTAAAAAATGTAAAAGACATTACTGACAATTTACCCCCAACCGCCTTTCAGCCTTCCAGCCAAACTATTTCCAATCATAAATTGTTTTTTTCTCCAAAGATTAAACATTCCGGATATCACAAGTAAGTACCCCGCCATGTACTATACAACAAGGTTAATTTCCACACTGGGTCGCCTATAAAAGACTGGGTCGCCAATAATGAAAAAAATCATTCTTTCCGTCTGCGACCAAAATATTGATCGGGTTTAAAAAATGGAAGACATTACATGTACTATTACACTCTCTGCTCCATTGAGGGGTATAGATTTTCGTCAGACAGCGTCCCGGGTTAATTGCGCTTTAACTTAATTTACGTCCCTCAAGGCTGGACTTGATTTGCTTCCATTGATTCGATGTTTATTCTAATTGCTGCAATTAAAGAGCTCCCGCCAAGGGGTCCATCCAGGGATTTCAGGAGAGAAATCAAATCCCTCAGATTGCAATTACAATTGACGTGTTCATTAAGATTCACGCGACAACATCTGGGTGTAAGAAACAGCAGAGAAGCTGGGGCGTACTGCTCAAGATGAGGCACTTGTTTATACGGAGAACAAATGTTGGTGGAGGAAGAAGCGTAAAATGACAGCGGTCTGTCAGGGAATTTCTCAAGAGAATTAAAACCTCTCAGATTGCAATCATGGTTGACGCGCTCCTTACGATTCACCCGACTACATCTGGGTGTTAGGGACAGCAGCATGCCTTCTCGAGACGACGTTTTCTTAAGAAAACAACTTTTTGTAGGATTTTTAAAATTAAAAAAAAAAAAACACCCGTTTTGTAAATGCTAAAAAATAATTGATATGAAGTTTAGAATATCTGGGATACATTTTTTTTTCAAAATTCAAATCTCTTGATTCTGGCGCGAAGTGCGAATGACTACTCCAAATATGCACAGTAGTGGTTTTGCATTCAGCATCTGGCACCATCGAATGTCCCTCCCACTAGTCTCCCCCGACTCTCACTTTTTAACTGTTGAGGGGGTACTTGTCTACATACATGTACATGTAGTCCATAGCGTTGTTCGTTATAGTGACGTTCTACTTAATGTACGTATTACACAGCTCCATTTATCAGTATTTGGCTCATTATAATTTCACACAAAATTTGGGAGCAAGCCGAATTCATTTTAGCCGAATCTTTTTCTAGCGGTGTTCATTATAGCGCCGTTCTACTGTATGCATTATACAGCTCCGTGCCATCACCCACGCGTCATGTACAGTCCCGACGCAAACACATCAGCACGGCTCCCCCCTTGGGCCCATCTCATCTTTTATTCTGCACACATTAAGGCAGATCCCTGCTCAGGGTCCTTAGACTCCAAAACCGACCACTTGAAGATGTCCGCAGCGTGCAATGCCCCGTGGTGATGATCTGCATTAACTCCACTCTGAACCCTGGGCACGGGGCACAGACGATAATAAGAACAGCCGTCTTCTCTAGTCTTGGCTTGGTGCTCTCTAATGTTGTGTTACAGATGAGATCTTTAATTTGGCGGTTTGCGCATATTAAGTGTATCAGGGTATTGCTCTTATCGGATTGAATACCAATATATCAAAACTGTTCGCAACCCCTGGAATTGAGCATGTACCCTGTATTAACAGTGCACCCCAGAGCATCACAGACCTTCTCAGAGCATCACAAAGCAGAACATTACAGAGCATCTCACAGCATCCAGAGCATCACAGACCTTCATAGAGCATCACAAAGCAGAACATTACAGAGTATTACAGAATATCCCAGAGCATCCAGAGCATCACAGACCATCACAGAACATCCAAAAGCAGAACATTACAGAGCATGCCACAGAATCCCAGAGCATCAGAGATCTTCAGAGAGCATCACAAAGTAGAACATTACAAAATATCCAAGAGCATAACCAGAGCATCCCAGAGCTTTCTAAAAGTATCACAGAGCATCACAGACCTTCACAGAGCCTCACAGAGCATCACAGACCTTCACAGAGCATCACAGACCTACACAGAGCATCACAGAGTGGAACATTACAGAGCATCCAAGAGCATCCCAGAGCATCCTAGAGCATCACAGACCTTCACAGAGCATCACAGACCTTCACAGAGCATCACAGACCTACACAGAGCATCACAGAGTGGAACATTACAGAGTATCCAAGAGCATCCCAGAGCATCCTAGAGCACCATAGACCTTCACAGAGCATCACAGACCTTCACAGAGCATCACAGACCTTCACGGAGCATCCCAGAGCATCACAGACCTTCACAGAGCAGAACATTACAGACTTTCACAGAGCATCGTAGTACAAAGCGGCACACTGCAAAGCAAAGCACTTCAGGGCAAAGTAACAACAGAAAAAAAAAGACAACTCAATGTCTAATAACAACAGATGAAGAGCCATCATGGCTGAATTAATTCATGACTAAAAGGCTTCTCCAAATCAGGCACACTGTGTACATCATCTATCGATTCTCTTTGCCAGTAGAAAGCCATAAAAAAACTCTCATAAAGTGCAGGCAACTTAGGCAATATCAGCATTAAATTGCTGTCGGGAGTTCCTATGTTGCAGTCATGTTTCCATGTTGTACGGTCTACAGTCGAAGCCGTGAAATTACCAAATGAAGTAGCGTATTTAACCGCCACCTCTCAATTTTCATTAACGTGTACAGCTCAGTAGTCGGCGGCACTTTCTCCAGCCAGTTACCTTCCATGTGTACTTTTTTTTCTGTCCACGAACTCAAAGGCGTTAAATCTTCAAAATGCAAGCTAGAATCTTTTGAGCCTGAAAAAAAGCAACCTCAGCTCCCAACACCCACCTCCCCCCCATAATATTCAATATTTGTACCAATTGTATATTGCTCATGTGGACACAGGCCTACATGTATCTGTATTTCCAACTCTTGGTCCGCATGCAGAAACGTATTAAAAATCAGACATTTTGTTTTGTGCTTTAAGAGCTCAGTGGAAATTAGTTTTTCATATCTTATACATGTACATCCATCATCTAGTAATGGTCAAGGAGATTACAGACTAGGAGTTTTGGATCATTTCTCTGAATCATTAATTAGATATCATGGTTAATTGGCTCTGTCACGGACATTACATTTTCTTCCGTAAAGCCACAACTGCCCTTGTGGCCATTCTTAAAAATCATTTGCAATGTTTCAAGAGATGTTTATAGATGTACTCTTTCAATTAAACCTACATGTGAACCCGGAACAAATTTTGCCTTCTATCATTTACATACCTGTAGCTAGCTGAGTAACAGCAAAGTTTGAGCAAGTTAGGGTTAGGGTATAGAGGAATCAAGAACCTAAGCTGGTTACAATGGCAATTATTTTTCTGTGCACATCAAATAAAGGTGTTGAGGCAGAACATGCCAGCAAGCGGCTCTGACAGGCCAGGTTTTTCCCCCTCAAAAACAAGCTCCAAATTTCATAATGTTCACACTGAAATTTGATTTGCTGGCGTCATGCTGGCGTCATCCCATACACGTTATCTAAGAGATGGCTTTTCGGATGATGCAACATGCGCACTTGTCCCACAAGCATTACTCGCCGAATTTTAAAAAAAAAATTTGAAAAAATATTGAGAGATATGGATTTCCAGACCCTAGTTTTTTTTTGAGTGGGTGGCTGCATACTTTACTCCCTGGATACTAGTATCTGGGGGACCGGGAGTCACATGAACACACCGGGATGGCGCGCCGTGAAACACATCCCCCGCTTCGTACCCCCCTGATCAATTTGTATGGATTCTGACATTTCTTTATTGTTTCCATAATTAGGAATCGCTGGGCTTGTGTGGGCTGAAGTGAAGTAGGGTTGGGATGTAGAAATGTGCACGTAGGAATGTAAGGAGTATTGAACAGACAGTACATATGAGGGGCCTTCCCTGGGAAATTCTAAATATCCAGATTTTTGTGCAACGCATCCCCCGCTTCGTACCACCCTGATCAATTTGTATGGATTCTGACATTTCTTTATTGTTTCCATAATTAGGAATCGCTGGGCTTGTGTGGGCTGAGGTAAAGTAGGGTTGGGATGTAGAAATGTGCACGTAGGAATGTAAGGAGTATTGAACAGACAGTACATATGAGGGGCCTTTCCTGGGAAATTCTAAATATCTGGCCAGATTTTTGTGCAACACATCCCCCGCTTCGTACCCCCCTGATCAATTTGTATGGATTCTGACATTTCTTTATTGTTTCCATAATTAGGAATCGCTGGGCTTGTGTGGGCTGAAGTGAAGTAGGGTTGGGATGTAGAAATGTACACGTAGGAACGTAATGAGTATTGAATAGACAGTACATATGAGGGGCCTTCCCTGGGAAATTCTAAATATCCAGATTTTTGTGCAACGCATCCCCCGCTTCGTACCCCCCTGATCAATTTGTATGGATTCTGACATTTCTTTATTGTTTCCATAATTAGGAATCGCTGGGCTTGTGTGGGCTGAAGTGAAGCAGGGTTGGGATGTAGAAATGTACACGTAGGAACGTAATGAGTATTGAACAGACAGTACATATGAGGGGCCTTCCCTGGGAAATTCTAAATATCCGGCCAGATTTTTGTGCATCTTCTGGTCATTTGTAATTTTTGTGGGGAAAGGGGGCAATCGAAGAGCTCTATAAATATGTCCATTTTCAATGTATGCTGAATACTTTTTCATTAAAACCATAAATGGGGCAATTCCGTGCTTTGTCATGCCTGTTAAGAGCGCAGTGAATGATCTTGAAAATGTACATGCATTATGAAAATCATACACATCTATCTTCTACTAATGGCCAAGGAGATTAGGGACGAGGAGTTTTGGATCATTTCTCAGAAACATTAATCAGACGTCATGGTTGATTGGCTCTGTCTCGGACCTTACACTTCCTTTCATAACGCTGGCATTGATTGCCCAATGATTAAGTCTGATGTGATTTGTTCCACTCGACCTTGAATTTAGCCAACTTTTTGTTACTATAGTGTTAGATTTTAACACGAATAAAGAAAGATCATCATAAAGAGTTTGAAGATGGGAGCCAGGGATGCCCAACTGACATTGCAGGCTTTTGAACTCCCAAGGCAAGACTTACTTCGGAAAAAAAACCTCATTTTAATACTGCCCCCGGATGATAGTCTCCAGGTTTGAGAAATATATGTACATTTTGTTTAACAGAACATCAGACTCCCCATGGCACATCTTCCAAAACGACTAAAATGCGCCCTGGCAATGTCCACAGTGTTACCTTACGCAAAGAGAGAGAGAGGGAGAAATAAATGCAATTTTGGACGGTGCATTTTATACAGCGCAAAGCAAAGTTCACCGTTTGCACTGCAGCATTTCCCATTAGCGATCCTTTGTTTGCCGTAAATGTGATCCGCGCGTCGCCGCATCAGAGAATGCAATTTCGACTTAAAAGGTTTCCCCCCGTGTGTCGCAGGATTTTTTATTCTTCCAGGGTGAGGTTTCAATGCCGGGGACACGCCGGCCTGGCTCGCGATGGTAATTCACCCCTCTGCACTTTAATGCAGCAGCTTTACGGGATTTCGAGGCAGCGGGGTGAACGAATTTCAGAACGAAGTGGGGTTAAAGTATGGGGCCGGCGAGTGGCGGTTTGGATGGCCATGCTATCGTTTAACAGTCTCAGATTCATGAACTCTTGAAAGCATTTCCCAACGTACACGCAAAATCCAGTGGAGATGCTATGACACTGTAACAAGGAATGTATGATAATAGGGCAAGATATTTAACCTTATTGTACTTTACTGATACTATCATGCTACATGTATGGCATTACTGATATGTTTGCAAATTTGCTTTTACTTACAGTAACTGTTCACATTAAAAAAAAAAAAGCGAGTCAAACAACATAATTTCCTCACTCTGAAGAAAACGGGTTAATTGTACTGTAAAAGAAAATCCTCCATAAAACAGTTTTCGGAACTTTACACATACATGTAGCTGTGAAACATTCCCTTAAAAAAAATATTTGACGGCAGAGCTATACTTCCAGCAGGTTTCGTATTCGTTTGGATATCACAATTTGGATAACACAATTATGGATAACACAATTATGGAAACTTTCCCTAAATTTCCTAAAATTCCTGTTAAAATGATGTTCTTCTAGGGAAGATTTCAGGATTCAATTTTTCTTTGGGCCCCTACAACGATTCCTTGCCATCACGCTTTGAGAGCATTTCATAAGCCTTCAACGTTATATCAGACTTTGTCATAAATGTGAAACCATTCCGGCCGTCCATATACCGGTACACTTTCGCTTGTCATTATTTTGTAATCTTTTAAGTCGGCAAATGACCTTTATGTAATTGAAACTACAAGGTTCCTTTTTTTACTGATGGCGCAGTAGGACAACTTAGAGAAAAAATGTAGACAAGACAAATGAGCTCGGTTTTGAGGTTATTTGTTTCTTACCAGAAAGAAGGGTCCTTGCGATATGCGATGGGCGTCGCCAATCTCGCGTAATCGTAACGCCCCCATCTCGTGGTCGTTGGTTGCGATGTCACCTGGACTGTAGTACATATCCACAAGCTGATTGGTGACAGGAGGGGGGGGGGGGGAGAGGTAAACAAAAAAGTTTAATTGCAGGGAGGTAATCGAGTCCATCACAAGTCCTCCAGTCCCAATTCAAACCACAAGCTATTCAAATGAGCTTTGACAAAGGCATTCCTTTGTTATTGTTGACCCATTGTTTCTTGTGACAGGACTTGTGATGGACTTGTAATAGACTGAACTACATCCCTGGTTGATTGCAAATTACACCTGTTTCAAATGTCCACTGGAAATGCACATTGAGGCAACTTCAATAACCTTACCAAGTTTCAAGATCTTAGGTACAGACATCATTGTAAAACCTGAACAATGTGGCCACCCATCTGTAGCAGATTTCAAACTTTTTTTCAATCATTCCATTGTTCTGTGTCATTATTGATTTAGATTTCTACTCCATCCACAGGAGTATTAAAATATGGTGTAATTCTTAAATACATCGTTGTATGTCCATTTTGAAAAACATTATATGGAAGCCTTCTGCATACATATCACATGCATTCAAAATAAGGCCCATTTTTAACAAAACAAATCTCCCCCCTAGGGGCGAAAGCTCTAGAGGTTAAGACCCCTTTTCCGAAAATCCTAGATCCGTCCCTGCTATCCCGCTTCCTTCATTTAATGAAGTCGTCTTCTTCCTCAAAGTATTGCTATCGGTCGTGTCAGGATCCCTCCAGATATTCTTGTCTGGCACTTGTTTATTTGACCGAGCAAACTGGACGTTTTTAGTTGGCGGTTTTTCCCCGCCAGCCATTCATCCAATTTCCTCCGTTTGACACCCCTGATCCTGTCATCTCAGTCACATACTCACCTGGAAATCCAGCCCGTATTCCTGGCAGTGCCGTTGCAGCTCTGGCACGGCGTCCCGGAGCAAGGCATACCTCTCATGCTCAGTATCTATGAGGAGAAAGCGAAAGAGAGGTTGACAGGACATGAATAAACAAACACTTGTTTTGTCAAACTTTTGTTCAATGTGATAGATCTTGCCATATGTTTCAGTTGTTAACACAAGAGTACCGGTAGGCTTGGCAAGTCCATGATCCATCTAGTCTGAAAAGACTTGGTTAAGAACGTTATTTATACTCAGTGACTCAGTCAGTGACTCGGGGAGTCAGTTAGTTAGGGAGTCTGTCAGTCAGTCAATCACTTGGACAGTCAGTGACTCAGTCAGTCAGATGACAGAAGGCTGGCCTTTCACGTCCAGCCAAAAAAGCACATCCTCTCTGAAGAATGGTAAGATCATCAGGAGTTGATCCAAGACAAATCACATGTGAGGTTGCGAGTAACAAGTGCTGAGCTAGCAAGGAGTGCCTCTGTCAAAGTTCATTTGAATAGCTGGTCACCTGACTTGGGACTTGACTTGTGACTGACTTGTAAGTGACTTGTAAGTGACTTGTGATTGACTTGTGATCGACTTGTTGCCGACATGTAATTGAGTTGTGATTGAGTTGTGATTGACTTGTGATTGACTTGTGATTGACTTGTGACTGACTTGTAATTGAGTTGTGATCGACTTGTGATTGACTTGTGATTGACTTGTAATTGAGTTGTGATTGAATTGGGATTGACTGGTGACTTACTAACGACTGACTTGTAATTGACTTGCAATTGACTAGTGCTTGACTTTTGATTGACTTGTTATTTACTTGTGAATGACTTGTGCTGACTAATGATTAACTTGTGCAGACTAATGATTGACTTGTGATCGACTTGTTATTGACTTGTGATTGACTTATTATTGACTTGTGACTGACTTGTGACTGACTTGTGCTTGACTTGTGCTTGACTTGTTATTGACTTGTGCTGACTAACGCTTAACTTGTGCAGACTAATGATTGACTTGTGATTGACTTGTGTTTAACTTGTGATTGACTGGTGATTGACTTGTGATTGACTTGTGATTGACTTGTGATTGACTTTCGACTGACTTGTGATGGTCTGATTACAACTCGGCCGTTCTGAGAGATCACTCTCATGCTGCTTTCCCGAAGCTGCATCATACTACTGGAAGTGTCCCTGACTACCCATACATGTCCTTGCATATTCCTTCAAATGATTTGTTACATGTGTCCCAGAACAAGGACGAAGGCTGATTGCAAGAGAACAATGCTACATAAATCATTCGGAAGACCAGCAAAATTGCATTATTTTGAAGGTTGCAGGTTCCATTCGTCCTGATAGACTCTACAATAAACATAATAAGAATAACAACCTTCAGTCACATTTTTTTAAAACGTCTGGAAAAAGCCACCTGCGAAAAGCAATAAGTGATTAAATCCTCAACAAAAATAGAAAGAATATGAGTGCTTGAATTCAAAGGGAAGGGGAGGCAACACTCTTTACTCGCTTTTCAGTCAAAATTCATGGCATCACTAAAAACAATATTTGAACTGTGTTTCGGTCGGACTCTCGCTGTTGAAATTGTCTTCGTCTAAAATGGGCTTCGTTTCCAAAGGCAACGATGCTATGCGTAATGGAGCTTGTCATTATACGTCGACCCTTGGACCTCCCGATCTCAGTCCTCAAGAAAGGAGGGGAAAAAAAGATATCGTCCCAAAACAAATTTCTATGTAATCAATCCTCATTACTCAGGCGGTCAATCATTTTGTCATTTCTCATTTGTAATATTCGAAGGCCGGATTATCTTGGAGTGTATATCTGTTAACCATGTGTATCGGGCGTGAGCAAAAGCTTCAAATATTAAACAGGGGCAGACTTGGCTCTGGATGCAAGCCAGCACACTTCAGCTCAGCGAGCTGAGACATCAAATATACTGGACAAGATGATAGCGTTTGCCAATAGGATACATGTTCTACAAGATCGATAGGGTTAGGCATATGAGTACATGAAAATATATACATGTACCCACCAATATGTACATTCATACATTATTATTGGTGTAGATACTGTACAAACTATGAAGGGCCCAAGTACGTTTTTTAATGCAATCCTTGAAAAGGCATCTTTGTGTCTCATATAACCTTATTTTCAATTTGCGTTTTGCCATTTTCAATGGTATTTTGGTGCCTTTTTGGTCTCTGCGCTAATTTTCATGAGCAAAAGTGTGATGTCATTTCAGGCAATAACCTCAATGTTACAGCTACCGGTACATATACTTCAGCTCCAATTTTAGATTCCAGAATTTTAGATATTTTGAGGTCAAAAATTTGCTTTTCTTTGGCCATTCATTGTGTCAGTGCAATTGACTTGATGTTCTAAGTTATTTTTTTAATAAAATATGAACCTTCCTCTTTGCATTAACAACTAAAACTCAAAGCAACACTTGTATTTTGCATGTGAAAACAAGATTCCAAAATGACAACCTAGAATCTATGATTTTAGCCCCCCCACCAAATTTTTTGACCAAAACATTCATTTAACCAATATCTATCTCACTGGCCCACCACTCAAATAAAAGGTCTTGTCGTCCCTGTGTATTTGGTAGCGTTGCTTGTAGTTCCGAAGATTTCATAAATTTTCCACTTTCTATAAAAATCCATGTCCACTTTCCATGGAATTGCAAGGCAAATTAGTTTTCCCCTTATTTTTCAATTCAACGGAAGTCAAAATATACAGTATACAAACTATGGAAAGGTCAATTTAGTATCCAATGAAACAGGAACAATTTCTGAGACTACGGCCAGCCTTTAAGAAACCTTGGGTTGACGTCAAGACAGAGATTGGGAATGGGGGGGGGGGGGCAGTTATCCCGTAATCAAAAAAATTCTGATTGAAACACCACAGGCTGTGAAACCTTGGCTGACAGAAAACTGATTTTAATCAAATCTATAATGACATACACGTGCCGGTGGATATATGTGATATCATCAAATAAAAGGTTAAGACATGTGTAAAAGAGAGCTTTAATAACCAACTGTACGTCAAAAAAATAATCATCAATCCCAACGCATGGCATTGCCAATGTAATTCGATAAGAATAGCAGTACCTATAAGTTACATGTAGGTAACTGCATAGTCTCGCCAAAATTTGCCAAACCAAATTTCAATGAATTGAAACAGCTTTGTTTGCGCTGCCCTTCAAAGAAAACCGATATAAGCCGCGCAACCATGGTTTTGTTAGCTACATGTATACCTAGATATCCAAGCAAAAAAACAGCTAAGAAAACACTGGCTTTCATGCATGTGTGTATTTTCATTTTCCGACACAACATTGGAAGGTCCAGTAGATGTCGCAAGTGAATTTACGTTGTTAATTCACAAATTTAATTTTGCCGGCTTCTTGGCCACACTTCATTCGCTCTTCTTTCCTTTCATTCAAATTCTAGCTCTATGGTGTATTTGCCTGTGTCCTAGGCAATATTGTTTTAAAATGCAAGAAATTCCTTTTTTTTGGGTACAAACTGGGAACAAAAACAGTAGGATATCTGATTAAGATGAATACATGTAGGTAGTAAAGGGGCTATTTCAGAGTTATGTAATGACTGTCACAGAGCTTTTAAGAGCTCAGGGAATAAACCTCAAAATTTATTTTTCAAATTGTATACATCCATCATTTATTAGTGGTCAAGGAGATTACAGACTAGGAGTTTTGGATAAAATTAATGATTCATTAATTATATATCATGGTCAACTGCCTCTGTCATGGATATTACACTTCCTGGGTACTAGGGTATGCGAGTATCAGACCGCTGATGTCAAAAACCGGTTACAGATTGTAGGATCGGATACCCATCAACCAACTTAAAAAGAAAGGTTTTGAATGGCATTTGTGAGGAATTTTCAAAATGGAGAACATATTTCACTCTTATGTGGAGTTTAACGTGCCACAGATGATGCTCGCAAAAGTTGCAGATTACATTGTAAAGCTGTAAAGCCCTTCAGACAACGTTCGGGATTTGAATTTCGGGGTTGTTGGGTTTCTTTCATGGGTACCCGGTACCCGTACTACCAGTAAACACACCACTAAATTTCGTAACGTTGGAATTGCCTAAACGAGGTCTTAAATTGGTAGCCTGCATTACTGCCTGAATGTAAATCGAAAAGGTAAGCCAAGTATTCAGATGCGAACCACAGGAAAACCTATTACATGTACAGTGAACCATAGCAAACAAACAAGACTACGAAGGTTAATGGGCCAATTACCACGGCACAGAAAATTGGATTTCACAAAGACCGACTCCAGGACCCAGATGTGCCGTGTAATTTCCTCGTTTTGCACAACAACTGGGCAAGCGTATGCCAATAGCCCGATCGCTAATTGCGTGCGTGCGTCTGAACGTGACCACATCCGAAGTACCTCAATCAGATCGAGGTGCTGCCTGTTACCATGCGCTAGGGGGCCCAGGGTACGTGATACCGGCATGTACACCCGAGATGAAGTGCAGGAACAAGTCGTAAAAGTGTTGCGAGAAACCTGTTTCAGATTGGCAGCTGGATGCCACGGGCTTGTCTCGCAGCTCGGCAAAATCTGTCGCGAATATACTCTTTAAATTGAAATTTCACACTTGTGGATTTTTAATTCTTCGATTAAGTTTGATTTATAATCACTCTATGTATACAAATCTTGTTATGTGATGGTCGTCTTAATTATTCTCATCAACATTATTCTCAATTGGAGTATTATAAACAGTTCCTGAACGTTCTAGAACAACTACTACCTACAACTCTTTTGCCAGCTTCCCTGTCGTTAACATAATGAAATTAACCCTAATTAAATCAGGTATTCACGTTACACAAAAGCCAGCACGGCGCGCCTTGCACGGACCCCCACGCCTCGATCCGTCCCTCCTGATACCCAATCTGCCTCATGTTTGCCCACCCAGAGGGGGATGACGTGCACGTCGCCACGGCAACTTAATGAATTTGGGTTAAGTTGATAGAAAAAATTCCTTGGTCAATTTTTTTTTTTTTTTTTTTTTAAAGCTTTTTTCCTTTTT